GAGGATTGCGGCTGGTTGGCACGTTGGATGTGTGGATGGGCCATGGGATTGAGGGTGTGTGGGCGTCCATGGCAATGGCAATTGATCAGAGCATCGTGGATTCTCGGTGGAGGATTCTCGGTGATGAGGCAATGGCCGAACCGTGGACATGATGGGCAAAAGACGTAAAAGAGGACGAGAGAGAGGGCGGGGTCCAATGTCCCACAGGATCTTCCCATGACGAAGGGACGTGGACCCTGCGCTTGCTGTTTTTGTTCATCATCTTGATCTTGTTTCTTGTTTCTGGTCGTTCTTGCCTCGCAGGAGTCCCTTCCTTGCCTCGTCGGCTTTCCCCCTCTCCTGCCCTGCATGCACACAAGGCGTTCTTACCTCAGCTGTCGTCTGGCAGCGCACGTATCGCCATATCGCTAGTACATACCGTGTACCGAACAAATCCCACCGTTGGACTGCGTGTAAAGTGCCGCTTCCCATCAGAATCGTCGCCATTTATGCCTTCATCGATGGCTAGGAATGGACAGACTCCGAGTGAGATATTTCGGACTGGTTGCGTCCTTGCTGTATTCTAGTAACATGTTCGACCAATGTCTCGGAGCGGTTGCTCTGCGCGCAACTGTCGCTCTCTCTATCTATCTGGTACCCGCCACTAGTTCACAGTCGTCAATTGTGCCCAACGTCGGCCCGCGTCGTGGAATGCCGCCTACGTCCTTTGTCAGCTGCGGCTGCGAAAGTCATCTTGTGAGACATAACGAGCCAGATTATCGGGGTCCTTCCATTAGGAATTCACCTCTTGTGGCAGTCGCAGCCGCAACCGCAGCCACAGGCATGTGGCATGTCTACAGTCCAGGGTCAACGTCAGTCAATAAACGACACGGCCCTCCACCTCCACACAACAAGCTCAAGCTGTCTGCCAACTGTGAGTCGGGGGGGCAAATGCCTGGTTGGCAGCGAATCACCATGCTGTGGATAGCATCAATCATGATAGCCAGAGCCAAGGCAAGCCAAGGAAAACAAGTGACAACAAATGACAGCAAATGACTATCAATGTCGCTTGGCCTTGAGAATAGTTTCAGGTCGAGGTGAGATCCAAATCAAACCAGAGACGTAAACCAAGCGTGCCTCGGCAGGCCGAAATGTCATACAATTCAGTCATCCATTACTATCGTCTCCATCGTTGCGTCGGTCCGCGTTTGAGCGGGTACTCGGACAGAAACACGGGAATACGGATATTGAGCGGGCCAGGATCACGATGTGGTTCCCTTCCCTTTTCCCCAAGGGAAGCACGCACACAAAGCACAAGAACCCATCCGTGCCATCGTCATTTCGGGGCGGGCATGGATGTGCAGGGTGGATTGCAAATGCGGATGGCGTTGTGTATGTATGTGGTGTAGGGTGGATGCGGTCAATACTTCGCACCACTGCACTCCCAGCTCCAGCCAACCCCGAATTGCTGCATCGTCGTTGGTTGGACCGCGCAGGTTTGGATGAGATGGAAGAAGGGCACAAGAACCCCCCTGGTGGCTTCTGCGGCGCTACACAGATACGCGAGGGCAAACATCCCCAGTTCAGCATTTTCTCTTTTCGAGAAAGCGGCGGCCGCGGTCCAGCGCGCTACAAGAAGCAGGGACGAGGAAGGGGAAGCCACCTGGCCCAGTCCTTTGGAAGCAAAAAGGTGGTTCTCCATGTCCCCCAAGACTCCGAGGAAAACAGAGCAGCGCTTGCAGCCAAGCAATCTATCGCATCATTCACCCCACACAACCGTCGGTGCGTCTCATTCGCCAGTGTGTGAACGAACCGTGAGGGACAGGAGTCGGAGAGTCGGAGTTGGGCTTGGAACCCCCATGCTGATGGATGCAGTGTCTTGCCCGTATCAATTGAGATTGATCATGGACTGCAGTCACGACGCATGTTGGGGCACCAGCACACCCACTTACGCCCCTACCAAAATACCCGCAGCAAGGGGCGCCTGTTGGCCGCTGGTAGGCCACAGTCGAATGGAATGGTTATTAAGACATGGATGCGTAAAGTGAAGCTGGCAGCCAGCCTTCAAGCCGGCTGGTTTCGCCTGCCAATACTCGTTAGTGACCGACGCCAATGCCAATGATACCTTAGCTGAGCAGGATGCTAGCTAATGCCAATACCAACGCTTGTCTTACATGGCAGTTGTTGTTACAGATACATATCGAATCCTCACGTACCAGATTGACTACTGCGATGCTCTCAGAGACGACGGCAATCAGCTTTCGATTGGTTGCTCGTACCCCGTACATGTCGATCGTCGTCCGTCGTCGTCCAAGGCGCCGCCGAGGGGGGAATGAGAAAATTTGGCAGTCTGGACAGCTTCTCTCATTGGGGGTTCGTTCACGTGTTGCAGGGCTCGCGGCGTCGGGCGATTATTGTTCGGCGTCGCGCTGTTCCTGGCAGGATCCGCGGATTTCTTCAGTCACTTCTCGCCCCGGCGAGGACGGGCCAGGACATGGAGGCGATGGGTAAGGCACTGCAAGTGGCAGCGCAGGCAGGGAGCGAAGTCGCAGGTGGATGCTCCATTCTCGTGCAGCAGCCGATTGATAGGCATAAAATGCCGTCCCGTCTGATGTGCCTTGGTGCGGTGCAGCGCAGTGCCTCCGGCCGGGCTGGGTGTGCAGCGCTGCGTGCACAGAGCGCTGCACCGTAGCAATGGCAGGGTAAGGTAGGTAGGGCAGGGCTCATCGGTTTCGATGACAAGGGCCGATGAGGGTGAGCGACTGATCAAGAGCGTGAGAGCGAGGGTGTCTTGTCAGGGTCGGCCGGTGCGTTGCCCGTAGAGTGGACCCCCCAAATGTCTAGTGTACGGTATGGAAACGGCTCCACTCCAGGGCATTCTCCAGTCCCGTCCCGCTCTACACTATTCGTCCAGTGTCGTGGTCCTAGTGCCAGGACGTACACTACGTAGGTACCTGCTGCGGCCCTGTCGAGGCTTGTTCGTATGTACGTACAGCGTCCCCCAGAGTGTTCCCGAATACTCGCTCAAATCCCTCGTCTGTACTCTAGGTAGAGAATACTTGGCAGCCATTCGAGCGAGACCTGCGTGTCTTTGGTCGTTTCTTGGCTGCACACCGTCTTGGCCGCGACCTTCGCAAATGCTGGTTGCTGAATGGCCGTTGGGAAGCTTGGAACATTGCACACTGGCCTGGGCCAGTCTTGGCCAGACAGGTGCACCGCTGCACTATATGATTGTTGCTTCCGTCGCCGCTTGCTGAGGGAGGATGCCAAGTGTTTTGTTCATTTTCAAGATGGGCTGCGGTGTCGGTCGTGGTAGAAACGAAGACGAGGGAGCGCCGTAAGTAGCAAGTATCGTGTACGTACAGCACGCACTGCCGCCGTTGTTGTTGTTCTTGTGCTGCGACCTTCACTTGCTCCTGCTGTTTCCGCGGACTGTCAGATGGAAGGAAAGCAAGCCGCCACCAGGACCCCCCCGGTCCCATAGTCTACTTACAATTTGTGTGCTCTACCTGAGAAAAAAACCACCACCCAAGACTAGCCAATAACCAATACCAAGATTCTCTTCTCATCCAACCCGCCCACCCATTTGCTGCCCTCCCCCCCCTTCCCCTTCCTTTCACCCTTCCCCATGGCCCCCCATCCAAACCCCTCCACCCCTTCCCATCCCACCCAGACAACTTACAACAAAAATAACGGGAAACTTGAGTGCAGTGGAAGGCACGAGGTACCTGCTCCCCCTACGCGCCTCGTACTGCGTACCTGATCTGCCTGTCTGCAACTGGCGGGTTTACCCCCCCCCCCAGGTTCTCCATCTCCCATTCCTATGTTCTTTCGCACAGTGCCCTCGTCGTCCCTCACACCCGGCCGAGGCGGAAAATAGCTTTCGACTTTCTCGAGCGTCTTTTTCCACACCCACGCCCCTCTAAGCGCAGCAGCGGGGTCCTTTCCTCGAGCTTGTCTTCATCCAAATCGAGAAACGGTCCCCCCGTCTCGTTCGCGACCAATTCTCCCCTGCGACGACTCAAAACTCGCAGCCTTCCCACCTCCCAAGCCCCCGAGACAATTCCAGAATGGACGCTTGAATTATTTTCATGCTCCTCTGCTTTCCTCTTGGACTCTTTCTCTGACCTAAGGCACGACTAATATTCTATCGCTCTTACACCAATCTGTTACCTCATCGTCCTTGTCGACTCGATTCACACCTGGACACAACTCGAGAACAGCATCGAGGCCAACTCGCAAGTCACTTTTGCTTTTCTACATATACTGCCCCCGACATCTGCAGTCCGTCCTCCCAACCTCTACATACGTTGTGCCGACACCGAGTTCAACTTCCTTCCACTAGGACCCGAAATCCTCCAGTCTGCTTCCCCAGACATCTTACGCCAGAAACCGCAGACGCTCGCGTGCACACAGCTTCCGCCTGTCCAGGGATTATACGTGGGCCAAAGGGCCAGTCTGTTCTGCAGCCATCTTCTTGTCCTGCAAGAGCTGCAAGACTCAAAAAGCCTCACACACTCTTAGTTCGACGCCGAACGCTTGTCCTTCGCCGAATAGCAAAACCACGAACAAACGCATGCAGCCACGAGCAATGGGATAAGAACAAGAAAAGCAAACTCTTGTCTTTTCCTCCCTTTCCTTTGCGTCCTCGGATCTTGGCCTCCAAGGTCGTATCGTTCCCTGCGCCAAACCAACCCACCTCACCGACTTCTACCCGACCTGTCGGTTTCTCTTTCACGTTGGTGCTTTTAGAACCGATAATTGGGGGACACACTACTTGCCCGTCGCCCGTCCTTCCCCTCCATTTGTCAAGGCCCAGGCCAGAGAATTGGAGACCCCTCGGAAACGCCGCGGACTATCTGTACTTCACCCTCCCAAAAAAACCCCAGTACCAGCACTTGCACCAGCACCAAGCGTTTTCCCTAGGTGGTGTGTGGCTCAATTACGTATTGGTCCATCCTTGATCAGAGCACCCTTCGCTGCTGCCGTCGTTGTGCCCACCGGCCACACTCCGAAGAGCCATGGCGACCGTCCTCACCAGCCTGGCGGTGCCCCCGCCCACTTCCCTCGCCCAAGGTACGTCCGGTGGTCACTGCACCCCCTAGCTGCACTTCCGTCATCAAGCAGCTGTTCCCAACCCGCCCTGTTTCCGTCCGCAGCATCCCTGAAGCCGTCGGTCACTAACAACGCTTGCGATTCCAGACAAGCAACATTCCGAGCAACAAAACTCGAGTAGCCTGTCCTCGTCTCCCCGCCAATTTCCGACCGACCTTACTTCTCCCATCCTCGAAGAAGTCGACGAGTCCGAAAGCGAAACGCCGAATGAACCTGTGACCCCCATCAGCAGCGGGAGACAGTCCCAGGAGTTTACCACCCGCCCCAGTCAAGACCATCACGACACCAATCTCACTACCGAAAACCAATCCGCCCATCAGGTGCAGACCGCGCCGAAGCCTCTCTTGGTCAACACCGCACCCACCCCCACGGTTTCGCCCGCAAACTCGGCCGCAACACCAAAGCCCGCCAACCCTCCAGCTTCAGCTGATCCTGCCGCTGACCAAGAACCGCCACCGACACCGCTGCAAAGACGACCCACTCGAGGTTCGACTACCAGCTTTAAGCGGACCATGTCCAACATCTTCCGCAGGTCCAACTCGTCCATCAACAGACCCGAATTCGACTTCTTAGCCCAAGCCAACGACGCTTCCGAAAGTGCAGTGATTGACTCGACACCTGCCAAGAGCGGTGGCAGACGCTTCTCGATGAACAGATCAAGCAACACCACGAGGTCCAACACGCCTCCGTCGCCGGGCTCGCCCGTCGACACTGCCTCTTCCTACAAGGAAGCGTCGACTATGCCTTCTCAGGATGACTTCAAGAAGAAGAACAGAGCCTCGACCGGCTTCACTAGCCTGCGCGGTCGGGCTGTCAACTTTGTCGGCGCCAATGTTCCTGGACGAGAGAAACACGCGGCAAAGAAGCCGCTTCCTCTGGGAAGGAGACGCGCCAGCAGTTTCGAAGGTCGCCTGGAAAGCCGTCACCTTGCGCCTGCAACCGACAACCATTTTAAGAACCCCGTTTTACCCATGCAAGGGTCCTCCCCCTGGGCTCAAATGCCTGACGCTGGTGTCGGCGTCAAGGCCCGTCGCATGAGCTTGAGTCTCCCGGATGACTTCCAGGTTGACGTCGCCGAGCTTCTCTCTGAATACGAGTATCAGCACAAGCTGCTTGGTCGTCACGGCAAGCACCTCGGCAAGGGCGCCACTTCCAAGGTGACCATGATGTGCCGGAAGGGATGCCCGAATGAGCTCTACGCAGTCAAGGAGTTCAGAGCCAAGAGAAAGAAGGAGACGGAGGACGAGTATGTCAAGAAGATCAAGTCGGAATTCAGCATCGCCAAGAGCTTGCACCACCCCAACATCGTCGAGACGGTCCGACTCTGCACTGATCACGGCCGCTGGAACCACGTCATGGAGTACTGCTCAGAGGGCGACCTCTACGGACTCATCGCCAAGCGTTATTTGACAGACCCCGCGAGACAAAACGACCGTTTGTGCTTGTTCAAGCAGCTCGTCCAGGGCGTCAACTACCTTCACAGCAATGGTATTGCCCACCGCGACATCAAGCTCGAGAACCTCCTCATCACCAAGGACAGCAAGCTGAAGATCACCGACTTTGGAGTATCAGAAGTATTCACTGGCCATCACCCCGGCTTCCGGGAAGCTGGTGGACAGTGTGGCAAGGGCATGGGTACTGAGATTCGCCTGTGCAAGCCCGGCATGTGCGGTAGCGAGCCGTACACGGCACCCGAGGTCATTCTCAAGGAGGACGAGTACGACCCTCGCGGTCTCGACGTGTGGAGCTCCGCTGTCGTGATGATTTACCTCACTTTCGGAGGCAACATCTGGAAGAGGGCCGACGCCTCCCACGAGGGCTACAGACTGCTGCTCAAGGGATGGGAGAAGTGGGAGGCCAAGCACCCTGAGCCCGATGCTCGCATGACCGAAACAGACTACCCTCACTACCCGGCTTTCGACCTGATGGTCTCTCCGCCTGCGCTCCGCCGTGTGCTTCTCATGATGCTCAACCCCAACCCCACAAAGCGCGCGTCCATCTCGGAGATCGCCAACCACCGCTGGGTGAAGAACATCGAATGCTGCCAGCTCGAGAGCTACGACGACCCGGCCAATCTTATCGACGCTACCAAGAAAGGCAGTGCCCAGCTCAACACTAAGAGGGTGTTCTGCCACAACCACTTGCCACTCGAGAGCCACGGCCACTCACTCGGAAAGATGCCGGGCCAAACGGGTTATTGACTAAACCCTGATACGACTGTACGACTTTTTACGTTTTTAATTTTCTGCATAGCCGCGATTCTATCTCTTGGAAGCGGCTCCGTATTATGAGCTCGCAGAGGCTTGCACACTTCACATGGCGTTCATAGAGAGGCTTAGGGAAAGAAGCTTCTGGAGAAAGGGATTGGTTTTGTTTGAATACACACACGACTGCTTTGGGGAGGCAGTAGAGGCTACTACTACGATAACGCCCTGCAGTGCGTCTCAAGGATATGCGCGTACATCCGGGCCGATGAAGGGGGCATCTGGGATGTGCATCGTCGTACATAATCAAATCACCTTCTTTGATAATCCACACGTGTGCGCGAGTCCCAGAGCCAGGTGCACGCCACGAGAGAGGTGAAAGATTTGTGCTTAGACACATCAAGGAAACGGGGAGGACAGACACGGGGGTATCTTGCCGTGCGCGTGCAAGTAGAAGCATAGACTACTTCTTCACCCGCTCTATAGGATAGACAAAAGCTTAGCCTCAGTTGAGAGGGCACTCCTACAGTCTCTTCAATTTAGATACCTACATTCGATATATTCTACATCAATGTGCTTGTCTACTACAGTTGAGTGAACGCTGTCAATGCCTCGAGCTGGGGCAATCCCGTCTCTACACTATGGTGGACTATTGTTTGTCGACTAGGAAAGGATTTGCTAAGATGTCTTGACACGACGTGTGTGGCTCACCTCATGGAGGGGGCTCGAGAGAAGCTTCGCCCGCAATGAGAGTAGAGAGAGAGATGTGTGAATGCACGAGGGACAGAGAGCGAGACTCGAGGGGAACACCCCCCATCTGCCCAGCAACGAGGGCCGGAGCATGTACGTTTACAACATATTACCCATCCTGACGTATATGACCTCCCACGCCCCCCCTCAGCGACACAGGGTCACCGTACTTGTCGTCAGTTATCGTGGGAAAAATTTAAGGGTACGGAGGGGGAAGGGGGGGTAGGAGGAGAGCGGGGGGGAAGAAACGGTAAACAGCGCGAAGCCAAGTCCAGGGAATCAACGGGCGCACACAAGGGGGAAACGTTACCGCGAGCGAGTGTGTATGGTGTGCAGGCGACCCAATCAGCCGGGCTGACGGGCCCAATCAAGGTCGTTTTCCCCCGCCCTTTTCTGGGAGAGAGAGAGAGAGGTTTCTTGCCCATGCCATGGGCTCGCTTCCGCGTTCCGTCATCTTTGGTACATTGGACTAGCAAAGCCTGCTTTGAAGGGGAGGGGCATTCGGAGGCTTGCTCCTCGGCAACTGGGTTGGGGGTTATTTTGTTGTTGTTTGGTGTGGAAGGGAAGGGACCGGAGAGCTGAAAAGGGTTGCTGGTGGTGGTGGTGGTGGTGGTGGTGGTGGTGGTGGTGGTGGTGGTGAGGTAGAGCGAGCGACATTCAGCCAGCCAGCAACCAAGCAAGCCAGCACGCCGAGCCAAAAAGCCCGTCAGCCCAGCCCTGTGTGCATCTTCGCGTCTCATGTTCCCCGGGTCTTCCAAAGCGATCCGACATGGCTTCTCCCGCTTTATTCTCTTGTTGGTTTTCCGTGTGGTTAACCTCCTTTGGGGTGCGACACACACGCCCCCTCCCCCTTGGGTTTCTGCCTGTTCCTTCGCCCGTTGCCGTTCAGCGAGTCCTAGGTAGTCGGCGAGTGATTGCTACCGCTGCTGCAGCTGTTGTTTATGCTGCTGCTGTGGCATGTGGTGCTTGTTCGTGGTGGTCTCCGACGGTACGGCGCTGCTCGCGACCGGTGGGGAGGTCGGCCTGATGCAGGAGATGTGGAATTCGGGAATGATGGGCTCCCCCCATCTCAGTCCACGATGGAACGGCGACAGGAGCTAAGGTCGCCTTAGCTGTTGGCCCCAAGTGACCCCCTCAATCCCTCTCTCGCCGTCCTCCCCACCTAAGCGGTCGGCTAGCCATAGCGTCAGATGGGAATGCATGTGCAAAGTCTTGTCGGGCGAGCCAAAAGCACGTCGTTTTAGTCGGCCGCGCTGCGAGATCGAGGGGACCGCGGGACCCAAGGTTGATGGGGAGTCTTGGCAACGGCTGCTCCCCTTGCCATGGGCCGCGAAGGGGCGGCGGTGTGGATCAGGATCACTGCGTGTCTGAGGCGCCCAGAAAATGCTCAAAGTCCGCGGCGGCGCGGGGGGGGGACGTCACTTCCCTCGGTGCATATGCTTCATGGGCCCGCGAGGGGCGATCCCCGTGCCAAGCCGGCTCTTTTGTGCCTCGGGAACGATTCTGCATTACCAATGGTAAATAACGGATATGTCGAGGTCTGACCTCACCAGAACCCCATTTCCGGATGGGCGAGGAGGAACTAACGAACTGAAATTGTCTTGCCCCAATGTGCAGAGCCGGGGCGCCAGGCAAGGTGGCTGCTGAGCGCGCATCGTCATCCTATCGGACCGAAAACGGCCAGTCTTGGTCGGCTCCGAAAGACGGCGGTTGAGGCTCGATCTCGAGCAAAACTGACATCGAGTCAAGCATTTGCCAAGACGGCGGTGGAAACGGCTAGGTCGGCAACAAGTAGAGGAGGGCAGCAAGTCAGCTTCTTGTCATGCGGGTTCCTCCTTCGTCGGGTCCTCTGTACGCGCCGTCCGGTCGGTCAGGCATACAATGCGTTGTTCCCTCTGCTCATGAGGGGGCGTAGGAATGCGACGCCGGTCGGTGCTGAACAGGCGTTGCGTTAGGGTGGGCGTTAGTCTCTGATCTGGTGCCGCGTGATGGCGGTTTAATTGGTGTTGTTGGCTAGGAGAAGGCGCGAAACGCGTGGCCCTCGGCGAATCGTTGCAGAGGATGGCGGTTGGTAAGGAGAGGAGAGAAGAGACGGAAGCATTATGTGGGGGGACATGAGTAAATGTATTGGGTACTTTGATCATCTGGATGGGGGTTTGGTAGCACAGCTGCGTGCGTGGGACAAAAACGAATGCAAGCTGCCGTCCCCTTGGGATGCTGTGTGATGGAGTCAGCATCATGTAGGGTAAGGGGGTGGTTTCCTGGAAATACCACGGACCTGTAGCGGCCGACACATAGTCGAGGGCCTCCATATGCGCGCTTGAGCTGGCAGAAGCCTGCAGCAAGGCGTGTTGTAATGGGAGTGGCCTCGGTTTCTCACACAGGGTAAGTCGTGCCGTCGAGATCGCCCGAAGGCACACAAAAGACGGCGTTCCCGCGCCGTCTTCTGACGAACACGGCCGGCTTCTACCCCGCAAGCCGCCATATGCTGTGTTACTCGGTGGCGGTGATGATGTATGCCGGCGCCCGACGTCGGTTTGCTGGGCAGGGGTTCGTGTGCCTTGTTGAATTTGTGTTGTCTTCCGTTGTTGGTAGAATCTGACGCATTGTACTCGAATGGCCATCAGCCGGGCCCATGTGAGACAGGTGATGTGCTGTCCATCCTTGTCAATGCTCTCTTGACCTGCGCCGACACATTGTAATCTTCACGTGGGAATTTCCATCAACGGCTGAGGCGGCTTAGATCTTCCAGTCAAGTCGTCGGGCAACCACAGATGTATTTCTTGTGACAAAAGACATGCAAGACTCTCTTTGGGAAACGGTTCGCACGCCCTTCTAGGATCTGCGAGGCGCATATGTCTGCAACTCCGGTCGTCGGCGACATAGGAGGCGTGAAACCGCTCGAGGCATGCCCGATACGGGCCCAACGCAACCTTCAGAGAGTCCTAGTGCCAGCATGCTAAGCTTCAAGCCTCAGTAATCGCGATACGCATTTTCCATGTAAGCCTTGCTGTATGTCTCATGTAAACGAATGGTTTGGCTTGATGCCAGCATCAGTGTCAATCTCGTGTCTGTACAATCTCGGATGATCTGAAGGACTTGGTCATGGTGTGCAAACGAGCTGCAGGCGCTCACTTTGCGTACCACTGGCGGTGAGGCGATGGGCAGTTCAAGATTGTTGATGCCGGTTGAGACGGAAGCTGTATGATTGTGAAGACCGCTCGAAAGGGTTGAGGTTTCAGTACCAAATACATGGAAGAGAGGCATATGAGGATGTTTCTCATCTCACGTAAAAGTTGAAGCGAAGTCAAGCAGGTGAAACCGCAAGTAGCAGATAGGCCACAAGAGACAATGCCCTGATGGATCGTCCCTTTTGTCCCGGTTTCCATTCATGGATAATACCAACAGCGAGGGATAGAAGAACACTGCCGCCTACGACATTATAATAAGCATGTATGGCTCGTGTTGGTCACTGCAAATGGTCTCAATAATGTCCTGCCAATGGCAACCTCCCTCAAAATAAGTCCAATGAAGGAAGGTAGATTGAAAATGAATTCTTGACGGCTGCTCATATTACACGATGTTATGGCAAACCATTTGATATCCCCTTGCCTCATTCCCATGACCTTCAAACCCAACATCGGTCACAAATCTTTCGAAGCACAAAGGTATGAGATATAGAGCCTTGCTGGGTTCTCCTGGCACAGTCCATATGCCTTGCGTTATTTGGATCTTGGCCTTCCACCACGCACTCTCATCCTTTGCAGGGTAAGAGTTATGAGCACACAAAACCCAACCATTAGCGTCTTAGGTTTGGCATCTACTTTCCGCATCAATATTAGTCGGCAGTGAAAACATGCGAGCGAAGCAGCTCTCCACGAAAAGTCCCTCGCTCTGTCGAATCCGACGCCCCTGATTCATCCGGCGAAACAAACTGTCCGCTACCGATATAGACAGCTTACCTTCTGACACTGTCATGTCATACAGGACCATGTTCATTGGAAAACTCAGGATCTCGTCCGCTTTCTCCGCTTTCTTCTAGATAAGCCAATGAGGGGAAGCTTACCTATGGAAAGTCATATTCAGGCTGTAACATAGCATTTACGTCTTAAATTCTAGAACTGGTTCTCCCTGGCCTGCTCGTTTTTGATACTTGAATCTGTCTCGGTGGTTGAATCAGTCTGCAGCCAGCTCAATAAAAAGACCGCTTGGATGCAGTTGAATCTCGACATGCGACCACGGTTCGGCAGAAGAATCCCAATCTCTACAGTGCCCGGCGCAGTCTCAGATCTCGGTCCTGGATGTCGGCAGCACTGGCTCACAGTTCAACGACCTCATCTGGGTCGACCCTAATCTGAAGATGGAGCAGCCGCAGTTCGCCTACTCGCATCCATGCCATGTCAAGATCCCGCCGTGGACCGGGGCGAATGGTACCTCATGGCCGGCCGTTATCTTCATCGCGCCCGACGGATGAATGTAACGTTTGGGTCAGGATGACCAGCCCTGAGTGAAAGATTGCAACTACTTCGACTTCGGCCACTTCTCCAGCTCGGCGCCATAAACCTACGGTGACAACTCGACTAGCTCTAACCCGGACGAGTTTGAGTCTGACGACCCATATGACGAGAACTGGAAAGATACCATGACCACCAGTCCGATCCAGAACAGCACCTCTACCACCACGTCGGCGAGGTCTCCAAGACGATGACAATAGAAATCCCCAAGCCCTTGTCCAAAAGATACGGCAACCCGTCGGACAAAAATGTCTCATACTATGGTGAGGGCGGCAAGACGGAGCGCATGCGCATGGATAACGCGGCCAACAGCTTCAGCAACGGCATCGGCAACCGGGGGAACGTGGTGGCCGCGCCCTTCGTCCGCTCCAGCAGCTTCGAGTTCCCCTACAACGGCGGCATTGGCTCCATCAACATCAAGATCCGCTTTGAGGTGAACGCGGGCTGCTGGTGGAAGTGCGACTACAACGAGTGCCGCAGGTACCTAAGCGTGCCTGTTTATAGCTGCAATGCGGCGGCATCAAGAACAAGCGGGGAGGCACGGTGAGGAAGAACTGATACTCGTGGACGACTGATCTCAGCGTCAAGTTCTAGTCAATCGTCGTATGATTTAGCCTTCCTTCTCCCCATCTAATTTAATCTCATTTGTGATCCCACCGTGGCAGGTAAGGTCGCCAGCAGCAAATGTAATGTATAATACTAGAAACACAAAACCGCAAAAGACTATAGAACTCAGACAATGTTTCGCTAGGAAAAAACACAAGATTTTCTGTTTCTTTTCTCCGTCTGGCCTGTCAATCTCTTTGATCTGAGTGTCCTCCATCCTTACTAGCACCGCCTTTGCTAAGATATTGACTCTAAACCCAGGTTCAGTGGCCTGCTAACCTCTTTAATCCATTCCGCCTGCTCGGAAATCATCAAGAATTGAGGCTCGTTGTAGTTGACCATTACGTTCGTCTCTACGTGTAGCGGCTTGTCGTCTAGCGCTTCTCCCAAAGCAGCCAAAAGGTCCCCGCGCGAGCTCAGGATCCAGGGGCGAACTACCGACAGGTAGTCGTGGATTGTAACAAAGTGAGCGGCGGCTGGCTTTACGACTATACTCACTGCCTTGCAACGTGGCCGTTAAGTGCGGCAGCAGATCAGCAGATGCTCTGGTCCCTCCTCGTCCTCATCTGGATTGTAGTCAGGGAGGTCTCCCCAACTGGCAAAGAGAACCCATCCTTAGCTATCTTCTCGTTGTTCTCGTCAACACAGTCAGGTTCTGCGCGTTCGCGGTGATCTTCGAGCTACATGTCCTCCCATTCGTGGAGTTCGTCAGCTCGCACGGTGGTAGACGAGACTTTAGGCGCTGTAAGCGGCGCCTGGGAGACTGTGTGCCAACTTTGGTCCTGGAAGTACGGCTCGAGGGAGCTCGGGTCACGCTTAGTCTTCATAATCCAGATGGCCTAAGTCAGGGGGCCATTAAGCGTCCAACAGAGGCGGCAAGCCTCGGGGGAGAGTCTTGGAGGCTGGTGGGCGTCGCAAATGGCGTTTTACGAGGTTAATTGTGCTTCTCCTGGTCCCTCCGAATCCAACACAGTGGATGCATTCGGTCTGGGCTTATGCCTTGTCCGAGTGAAGGATTATGCTTACTTTTGGAGGCTTGCTATAGTGTCTAGCTGGTGATGTTGTCTTTAAACGACTTGGTCAAACCCGTGGAGATAACAACAGGGGAGGGAAATGGGGCTCAAATAGGAAGAAGACGAAGGGAGTTAGGTTAAGCTATATACTATGCAGTGATTTAGCAGGCCCCCCCTGGTTGATCGATACAAAGCAGCATTGCTGCCTGTTCCTTGCCCTAGGCTACGAGTCGACACGACTTCGACATTAGACACTGACACATACCTGACCGAATTAAATCCTAAAAATGGCCCACGACGGGAAGATTGACATCGAAAACGCTCCCAGCGCTGGTAACAGCCAGCCCGAGATGATAATCGACAAGGTCAAAGACATCCATGACATGGACGCTGCTCTAGACTCCTACGGAATAGCGGAGATGTTGCTCTGATGACAACCGAGTACAAGAGTTAATAATCGTACACAATAAAAGATAAACAAACCAAATCAAATGGATGCGTGATTATTGAAAAATAATGTAGTGTTGCGCAATGTAGCTAACTACCATGATTAGCGCCGTAAGGCTCACGAAGTCGTTCTAGCCCTTTTGGTTAGAGAGAAACTGGTGAGCAGAAGGTCGTTTGAGACACATGAATAAGGGCTACTGATGATGAACAAACCAGTGTAAATTGGATTAGCTTTGGCGGGCAGTACACTTTGCTCATTGATATCCTCCCCATCGTAGCCATCCGGTCGGTGCGTGAAAAGGCCCACCGGGATTGATTAGTCGTGCAGCAATTCTGACTGACTTGATCACTTATTGCTTGACGCCGACGGGATGGACGAACGGATCCCCCGTCGGTCAAATTATCGCCGGCCTGATTGCTAATGCTCCAAGTAGATGTGTTGCATGTATGCTGTTCAACTACAAAAGTTCTCTGGATATCCTTCATTTAAAATTTAGTCTCATGCTTAGAAGTCAGTGTAAACAGCCACAGATCCATACGAACAAATCGACCTAATGACCTATCAACAAAATGTCCAAAAAGATCATCACTGTAGTCGGCTTAACAGGGGCCCAGGTATGGAACGAGTCTTACACCACAAGACGCATTTGCCAGGGTGTAGGAAAAAACAATACTAACCAGCCAATAGGGTGGTTCTGTCGCTGATGTCTTTCTTGAAGAGGGAGGTTGGCACGTCCGCGGCCTCACTCGTGATCCAAGTAAGCCATCAAGCCAAGCCTGGGCCGCCAAGGGTGTTGAGCTCGTCAAGGCCGATGTCAATGACGTTTCCACGTTGATATCCGCTTTCGCTCAGTCAACAGTCATCTTTGGCGTCACAGACTTCTGGGGAGCTGCCATGGATCCCAAGTGCCAAGCGCTCGCAGCGTCTACTGGCCGACCTTTCAACGAGATCGCCTACGATATGGAGGTGCAACAAGCGAAAAACATCATAGATGCTGCCAATGCTACCCTCGAAACCTTGGTTCGCTTCGTCTTCTCAACCCTCTCAGCGACTAAGAAGTGGAGCAAGGGCAAATATACTCACAACTTCCACTTTGACTCCAAGTGGGAGGGTGTAGAATATCTGAAGGCCACTTATCCAGCCCTTGATAAAAAGACTTCGTATCTGCAGGTCGGACTCTATATGAACAATTGGAAGAAGGGTTTGTTAATGGCAGTGCCGAGAAAGGTTAGTCTCATTCCTGATAACGAGTGTCAACTCGCATGTTTGTGACGCGAGTTTTAACCGACGGGACGCTGAAATGATGACCGCCTTAGCAACCCGACGGTACCTTTGTGTTTAATCTCCCTGCGAGCGGCGATGCCCTCATCCCTATGGTTGAAGCACGTAAGAATACAGGTAAGCTTCTATAGTTGGATAAGGCGCTAGAAACTTGTGTAGCTAACACTGGATAATGCTAAAAAAAAGGTCACTTTGTCAAGGCTCTCGTAGAAGTCGAGCCGGGCAAGAATCTCCTCGGCTATGGTAGCCTCATAAGTTGGAACAAGTTTGCAGAACTCTGGGGGCAGTTCCACGGAGTGACATGTCGCTTCGAGCGCGTCGACCGTAAGGTCATGGAAGAAGCTATTCCAGGAGTCTTCGGCGAAGAGCTTGCCGACATGCATGAGTACATGAGCGAATTCGGATACGACGGCTCTGATCCAAGCGTTATTCACCCCCAAGATGTAAGTGTCCTGCTGCTCAATTCTATAAAATGTTAGCTTATTAGTGTGTCAGCTTGGTGTGAATGTTTCGATTTATACTGCTGAAGATTATATCAGGGAAGAGGATTGGCCAGAGACCAAGTAGGTCGGCCTTTGAAGACACAACTGTTCTCATAGGCCATCATCCAGAGAAATCCTTGATAGAGTTCAGCTCACGTTCATGTCAAAAGCAGGCTTGGGTGAGCCGGCTTAGACCTGGAACGACCATGTAGAGATAGTGACAAGGATTTCCTTTTATAAAAATCCCAATGATTTGGTTTAGAATTGAATAGTGCCAAGATCAGTGATCCTGACTTGATTGCCTGGGACACCGTGAGCTTAGATAGGTTGCTTTCCAGTTCGGAGATACTCAACATGTCGGTTCAACATCGCCTGCCACAGATCACCATTTCAACCAGAGCGAAATCGACCAAGAATATCAGAGGAAAATACCCCGTCATAAGAACAACAGAGGCCGGAGGGGAGATTCCAGAGCTAGCGTTCCGCGTGACGCCTGACAACGCAACGTTCATCCCCTTGATCTCCATAGCCGCGGCGGTCGCGGCGATCCCGAAGCTGCAGCTGCACGTCGTCTTTGGAGAATTGGTAAACAGGACGATTTCGCCGTTGTATATCAAGTATTCCGCACCCGGGGAGACGGATCGGAAGGAGTAACCCGAGATGGTGCCCGAGAGTATGAGGGCTTTCAAGGCAAGGAGCCTGGACCGGCCACGCTGGTGCCTGATGGGCATTGGCGATTTTGGCAAGTCTTGAAGAGTTCCGCAGGAGTTGGAACGTACGTTTGTGGGAGATTCTGGGAAAGGGTGTTTTTTCTCTATACAAATCCGTGATTGGGACTTACACGGCGGGTCGGTTTCGCAAAGTAACGTCACCAATGCCGACTCGTCAAAAACAGGCTCGCAAGAACAAAGGACGGTACATGGAAACATTGGATTTCATATTCAAAACTTCAACGACCAGAAACCTCTGTGGCGAGCTGTTTAGCTAGAGATTCACATATTCCAATGAAAGCATTAGGTCCGTGAAACACTCAAAACTAATACGAATACCTTAAGTTGTTTGCTCAAACAAGTTAGTTCAACTCGTGACACAAACACATGAACACCATCATCCATGTTTATTCCTCGAGGGACTTACCGAACGAGAAATATCAAAACGGGCGTCTTCGAGAGGGCTTTCCCATTCCTGATACGTCCAAGAAGCCCCATCGGAACAGCAGCAGCTCAGGGACAATTAGCTGCATAGGTTGTCATTATCGGAATGTTACTTGGCCTCTTTCTGGCACGGCTCGTATAAACCAAGCGAGATCAAGAGCGTGTACCCACACAACCTCTCTTCATCAGTTTTTATCCAAGTTAGGAAACATATGCTACCTGTATTTCTGCCATTTCGTCACCTCACTACCATGTCACCGGAAACAACTACAACACAACCAGCCTCCACTTCTGTAATGTTTAAAAATCGGAATCGCACCGTCTTGACTTTGTAGTCTACTGAGTTCTTCGTAATCGCCGTTGCAAGTCAGTCCCGTAAATCTAACCCCCGCCCCCGGTAATCCAAAGACATAGGAAATTCACGCCACACCAGGTTCCAAAACCCATGAGATCAGTGACAAAAGAGAAAAGGAAAGGGCCATGAGCCCAGAAGCCATATTCGCGGGAAGAAGAATCGTCGTTTATACTCCCATCGTGAAGTCGTGCTCGATACCGGGAGTCACGCTGGCCATGAACTGCAACTTGTTAGCATCTACCTATTCTCAGACAACAGAGGCTCGGATAGAGAGTGCCCTTTACCTTTAGGAAAACAACGAGGTACTGATCCACACGAATCGCAACCTCCTGCTCGTCGACCTCGCTCTGCTCCACCTCCTCCCACTCGTCGTTCTTATCGGCAGCGGCCTGGGCATCGCGCACGTCGAGCCGTCCCAGCTCGTCGACGAGGCCCTCCATCCCCTGGTCCCCGCCAACAGCTCGGCCTGCGCGCAGCTTCTCGCGACGGATGCGCAGTGCCGCGTCGGCGCGGTCGAGCAGCGTCTTCATCACAGAAGCGTGCTTGCACGGGTGCACGCTCGCCATCTTGATGTTGTTGGCGAAGAAGGGGAAGTCCTCGAGCGTCACCGTCTTGTCCTTGTAGTCGCCCACGATGTCGTCCATCATGGCGTGCGGGGGCAACGGCTGGTTGTTGGGCGAGTAGCCCGAGAGATAGAGGCGGGGCGTGCGGTAGTAGGTCGAGTACATGATGTACAGAGTGTATGTCCGGCGGCCGCTGCGTCCCAAGGGGTCAGCATCGCATCTTCAGTTCCAAGTGACGGGCCTCGCATACCTGTTCTTTCCGCTGTCTCCCGCATCGCGGATGATGGCCTCGTCATCGTCCTCGTCCTCCATATCCGGGATCTCGTCGTCGTCCACAACCTCCCTGTCCCCAACATTGCCCGAGTCGTCCACTGTCCGCACCTCCTTCACCTTCAACGGCTGCGAGCTTGCCAGCCCGCCCGTGCGCAGCCAGCCGTCCTCATCGTCATCACCGCCGCCCGCGGAGCTCTTACCGCCCTCGACGACGGCCTCCTCGTGGCCCGCGTCGCCGGCGAAGTCGTCGTCGAGTCGGCGGTTGCAGGGGACGTTGCGCGTGACGAGGAACTGCTTCCCGGCGGGCAGGTAGCTGACGCGGCGGCTGTCCGAGTCGGCGTCCCCCCAAGACCAGGTCGGGAACTTGTAGACGAGGTAGTCGCCGGCGGCGACGAACTCTTCGGGGGTGATTTGGCCTGTCTGACGGAAGGTTGACTTGTGCGAGACCGGCGTGTACCGGTCGCGGAGGGTGTTTACGGTAGAATAGAGGAGATTCATGGTCGGTTGCGAAGCTGTCCAAGGGGAAGAAGCTTGTGCTGTCCGAGTCGGTGTAGCTGTTGTATTCTTAAGCTGCTGATGGTCTGTATCCCTATCGATGCGTCGTGGCGATGCGCGTGCTCCTAGCTCAAAGGAAGAAGGTTTGTTGGCAAGTGTAGAGAAGAACGTTTACTCCTCCGCCAGCCTTCTGAATGATGTAGTCCGCAAAGGTTCCGCCTGATATTGATGACTGGGAGTCAAGCTGTGGCAGCTGTTCCGGGCGATCACATGGATGGCGGGGTTGTCTCACGATTGGACAGGGAACATAGTGGCGGGGTTGCCTCCTGCCTAGGTATGCGGCCAAGTTGGGGAGGTGGCTTATCTTATCGGGGCCGTTGGAGGCACCAGAGTGACGGAATCTGCTGGGGAGGCACCTTACTAGCAGCAGGAGTTGCGCAACTGCGCCCCTGAACCGTGCACCTGGCTTCCCTCCCCGCCGCCGCGGTCCCGTGGCGCTCCGGGAAGCCCGGGAGAGCCGCAATCCTTCAAAATGAGGCTTTTGACCTTCTCGGGAACAGTCTCAACATCCTCACGGGGCAGGTTCTAGCCTGACACTTTCATTACTTGCAAAAAGGATACCCTCGGACCAAAGTGCACTTCAATAATCAACGTCACTTACTTAGATATATATGCCTTAGAACAAGACACAACAAGTCATCCCCAGCAACAGATCAGGCCGCTAGTTGCCATACCATGAACTTCAATGCCTAGAGAGTGCGCGGAAGCGAGTATGGTGTCCGGAATACACTCACAAACACAGTTGTACCTACACAACAGTGATCGAATCACTCATTTGATGTTTCAACAGAGGGTATCCCGTCATGCTCATACTCGTGGGGCATAAACTCGACTTCAGGCAACAGTGCTCCGGTATCATAGCCTTTCAGAGCTTCTCTGACCCTCAGGCTTCGAAGGGGGCGGACGATTGATCAAATGAAACAGAATCTTAGCTTCCGGCGATATGAGGTGTGTTTACGTGATATGTAGGCCATGGGCGCCAGATCGCGGTTACCATCTCCGATGATGCCCCTACCAAAGCCGTCGAGCGGCTCGCCGTCTACGCCAAACAATAAGCCAACGATGACATCCTTCACAAGCGCCTGCCAAACAAAGAACTCAGCCAAGCCGTGAGCTCCAGAGTCGGTACTATAGCGAGGTGGTAGAGGACCAGGAGACACTCGCAACGCCGGCAATTCTAGTGTCACAGGCTTTGCCGTACAGTGGCTTCATACAGTCATTTGACTCCCACCAAGGAAGCCACAAGAACGCTCCAAAGTTGCAGGTTGAGGGGGGTTGTTCTATACACTTACTCTTTCGGCGTGAAAATCCAGCGCAAATTCCAAACCGCAGCATCATCTTATTGATGGCTGTCAGCTGGGCCTGTTCCCATTTGGAACGAGGGCTGCGCGAGACAGGACGGCCATGCACACAGGGTCGCAAAAGGAGAACCTGGTGGAAGCATTTGGCCATCATCAAATAAGAGAAGAAACCAATAGACATCTTGTGTATGCTCGTCGATAGAGCTCCTCGGTCAGAGGCAAACGTAGTCACGGAAACAACCAAAGATGCCGTCAAAAGTAGTTTCAACACCAGGCCATATACCCGGGATAGTGTTGCATTCGGCCTCGAGGGCTATTGGTATCTCTATTTGTGCCAACCTCCTATTCCTCCTCCTCCTCATCGCTCACTTCCTCGCCTGCCTCTATTGCCTCTTGCCGCCTCTTGGCCGCGCGCTCCCTCTTCCGCTCCAGCAGCTTCTTCAGCCGCGACGCAGAGTTGAAGACGCCGTTCGTGCCCGACCCGCACGCGGCGCACGTCGGGTCCTTCCGATACCTCTTGAGCGCGCAGGGCTCGCAGAAGTAGTGCCCGCACCTCGTGATGATGGGCGCCTTGTACGGCTCCTTGCAGATGATGCACGCAAAGGGTATGTTCTCCAGCATGGCCTCCTCCTCGTCGTCCTCGTCGTCGTCCGCCTTGGTCCGGTCCGCGCTGGCGACGATGGTGCCCCCCATGTTCTTCTTCCCCTTGGTGACGTTCTCCCATTCCTTGTCGAGCTGCCACCCTTGCTTGTAGTCCTCGCGCGCGTGGAGGAACTTGCAGTTGTCGCCGAACCCGCAGAAGCCCGTCTGCTTGTAGTCCTTGCACACGTCGGGGGCGAAGTCGGTGACTGTGATGGTTCTGATGTTGGTGGGCGCCTTGATGGGGCCGACCGTCCTGTTTGGTGCGTCCGGGTTCTTTGTGATGAACGACGTCTGGTTCGCGAGACCCTTGTATGTTCCGTCGGGGGCTTGCGACCCCTTCGCCGCGGCGCGCGTGGTGCCTAGCAGGTTCTTGGAAGAGAGCGCTTCCTTGCCGTCCTCGTCGTACCAGTTGCTGTGCTTCGTGGCATCGTTGGAGTCCGTTATAGGTACATTGCGGTCGGCGGTGTAGACTGTGGCGGAGAGGTCCTTATTTGACGTAACGTGGTCCTTGGAGGATGCTGTGATGGCGCCCGTGTTCTTCTTGCGCCTCTTGACCCGCTGGCCTGCTTCGTCTTCGGAGGAGGAGTAATCCGAGTCGGAGTCGCTGTTGGCCGGTGGTGGTGTCGCGGGCCTCTTGCGGATGTTGGCCTTGCCCTTTGCGCCTCGCCGCTTGAAGACGGCGACGGGGCATCGGCTGCTGCTGGCGCCGCGCTGTCGGCCATTGCTGATGACGAATACGATTCTCTCTCTCGCTCGCGCCCGTCGGTGTAAGGCTGAACGAATGGGCTTGTTGAAGTTGTAGTGTTTCTTGGGAATCCCCGGAGCCCCCTTTGTCGATCCACTGCTGGAACTAGGTAACGTCGGTAGTTGGAGTGAAGTTTGGGTTATCCTTGGACGCTTCTTTAGCTTCTACGGCGATCGCAAATCGACGGGTCCAACAATGCCTTCTAGAAGGCAGAAGATCAAGCCACAGCGCTGACAAAGCAAGTGGCTTGAGCCAGGAAACTTGTGGCGGGAGGCGAAGCCAATCATGTGACGGGTGGAGCTTCAACAGCGTTCTGCGTTCGCACCGAAGCCGGCTACGTACCGACTAGGAAAATCGGGAGGCTGGAAGACAGGGGATCGATTGGACAGAGGCAGGCACCAACAGGGGCGTCACGAGAGGAGCGCCCTGCAGGGATGAGCTTCCCAGCTGGGTTAGAGCTGGCAGCGGTGGACCAGGACTGAGATTGGGCAAAGTTATGCGACTGAACAAGTCGACCCCGGAAAAAAGATGACCTGGGCGCGTCTTCTTTGTTTTGAGGCGATGCGATATGGCGGCATGGGTTGGCGGGGAAGGGACACGAGCGAGCGAGGATGAACGGACGGTGCCCTGGTTGTTATTGCGATGCAACGCGATGGGCTATATGATAGGATCGATTACGCGCATGAGTGAGCAGGCATGTTGAGAGCGTTCTTGGGGGACGGACGACTAGCTGGAGCGACTGACTGACTGGTTGGAGAGGGAAGCTGTGTGTGTGTGTGTGTGTGTGTGTGTGTAGGATGACTACCGAGGTGTGTGAGAGGATGCGGCCGTGTTGTTGAAATCGGTCATTTGGATTGGCTACGCATGCGGGCACGAAAGCAACAGCTCCAAGAGTGTGTTTGGGTGAGGGCGCAACGGCATTGGATGGACGAATAGAGCTGCCCCCTCGATGGTGCATGGAGCCCTCGTAAAACAGCTGCGGACTGCGCAGCTCGTCGTCTGCATGCAGCGTCATTACATAGCTGGGTGTGCCCAGAGTATCTGCATCCGTACCGTCACGCGCAACGAATTGAAGCCGACTCTTGAGCGCGCCCCCCATTGCTCGTCCCTTGCATATGCCGTCACGGTGGGTTTGCAGTGCCCTCCTCGATGGAAGGACCCGGGTGACCTTCGCTAAGGCATGCTGAAATTAGAGGCTTTCCAAGGCGAGAGAGCTGAATTGGTGATGACGATGGACGGTGGCCAGCCGCCCTAGCCCTGGCTTGCCTGGGAGCCTGGGCGAGCCGCGACGGACTTGCACAAGAGGAAATGGCAAGTGGTCGAGGGTGCGGCTCAAGCATGGCATGCATCTGCATGGCAAGGTGCCTTGCCAGTTTGGCGATGGGCTGTTCAACTGGGCGTCGATTGATCGCTCTGGCTGGCGCGCCATGGCTGGGCCGGAGCACATTTAATCGATAAGTATCCGCACAAGACGTCAGTCGCGTCAAAATGGATCTGTGGACGCGGATTTGTACACTCAGGACCTACGTATGTACGTACACTAGATACACGCAGCACGCACACGGGACACAGAGAGGAGACACGCACACTGGCATCAACCCACAACTGCAAGGTACCCGGAGTTGTGCAGTTGCACAGTCGTAGTACCTACATAAGTCGATAGGACGCAGGCATGTTGCCCACTGTGCCCGCTCCACGGTGGAACCCTACCTAGGGGGCATTGAGACCTGGCAAATACCCTGGGTCGCCAACAGGCATGAACGCCTAATTGACAGGCACCGGGCTCAGGAACAGCAACATTGCAACGGGTCTCTCTCGTCTCTTTTCGCGGCCTGCCAGGTGTGCTAGGACGGATGGGGGGACGGACAGACCCCTCTCTTGTCTAGGTACCGTACATAGTAGGTAGAGCTCACCAGCAAGGCGTTTGGGTCCGTCCTGGTCGGTCCAGTCCCGGTCGGGTCTAATCAACCGACTAGGCATGTATGTATGTATAACGTGTGCAATGTGCAACGTGCCCGTACAGATGTGAAGTCTCCATCCCTTCTTGTGCCTGGACGAGAACGCGCAAGGAACGCAAAGAGAAGATTCTCAACAGAGAGGATCCTCCCTCTTTTCCACTTTCTCTCTCCTCCCCCCGTCGTGCTTCTTCTCGTCTACCAAATTAATTACTAACCCCTTCCACGTCTCTCTCTCCATCCCATCCCATCCCTCCTCCTCTTCCCTTTCCCCCCTCCTCGTCGTGTGTCTCCTTCTCCTGCCGACGCCGACACCCGCCGACCGTCACTTTTTCGTCCCTCCTTCTTCTGTTTCCTTCCTGGTGCGTCACCGACTCGACATTGAATCGTCGTTGTGCTTCACGCGCAACATCGAGTACTCTCAGTTGGAGGACCCCCAGAGAGAGAGAAGACCGGAGAAGACCGCAGCGCAGCGCAAGGGAACCGGATCGGAATACCATTGTTTTTGGAGACGTAACAATCTCTCACTCGTCCTTGGTTTCCTTTCTTCTTCCTTTCCGTGCTGGTTCAGGACTTCTCTGCCTCTTGTTTTGTTCTATTAATTTACACTTTTTTGGCCCTTCGTTTTACTCCCGCCTTCCCTACACCACCGAAAACCTGCTACAGGTATCTTGCCTGCGGCCGACCCGACCGCATTCCCTCACTACGAAGTACCTCTACTCTTTCGGGTTATTCTCTCTTTTTTTCTTTCTTCTTCTCTTCTTGCCCTTCTCTACGGGGTGTGTTGCCTCCGCCACCGCCGTCGCCGTCATCCCGCCTCGGCCTCACGTAGACGTCAAATTGTCTTCCCGACCGATCGGTTTGCGACCTTTGCGAGTACCACGGCACCGCCAACTGGAGCTAAGCTACCACCTCGGAGCTAAAGTAGAGTCAAAGAGGGGCTACTCCAACGGCCACCACACCTGTCCGCCCGCTGTTCACCGCCGCCGAGCCGCTTCGTATCACGCACCGTCCGCCCGTAATCGACAGCAGGAATACCCTCATCTGAGACCTCTGCGCTCCCCGAACACGCCAGCTCATTTGCTTTTTCTCCCCCCTGGCATCCTTCGCCCGCGCGCCGAGACTCACGGGAAACGGCAGACCTTTCCCTAATAATATCATTGTCTTATTATTCGCCGTTTCGTCCTCATTGTCTGCCCCCCGTCGACACCGACCACCATCCGACCCCGGGGTTTTTTTTGAGAGGGTTTCTAAGCACCGACTTTTATTTAAGCTTCCTTCATCCGGATCTTCTTCAGCTCACCCCAACAATACGTAAGTGTCTGTGTGTCTTTGCATGTGGAGGAAACATAGAAAGTAAAGGACGGAAAAGGAAGAGATCAAAGAGAGTACAGCGCCAACCTGAGTTTCTAGCGCAGCAAACAGCAACAATCTAGGCCGGAAAACAGGGTGCGGGCGCGTCTAGCTCATCCCACAACCCCGTCCCATCCGTCTTAGCTGCATCCCCCGTGCAGCGACTCAGGCCCGAACAACAAAGCCGACAGGCACTGCCTTGCCTCTGCTCTCTCCTGCTGGTCGCGTAAACCTGGAGGTAGCGCATTTTTTCTCTGCACGACAGCCGCCCGATCACACATCCATCGCCCTGCACCCGCGCCTGCGCCTGCGTAGGTACTGGCAAGGAACCACTGGGGGCCGCATTCCAGTCAACAACACACCTCCCCGTCCTCAGCTGCGGAGAGGGAACACAAACAACAAAGTCAAGTCAACAAAAAACATCACACACCCACCCCCCGTTCCCTCCTTTCCACATTCTTCCCTTTTTCGACACCCCTTCCGACCAACTCGACGACGACGACGCCCTCAATCTCTCTCTCTCTCTCTCTCTCTCTCACACACACACACACACACACACACTCGTTCTCCCTTCTTTCCCCGCCCCCATCCTCTCGCTTTGCCCTCCCGCGTGGTTGACGACATCTCCCACCTTCGGTAGACGAGCAGCCGGCCCTGCACACCCCGCGCTTGCGTTGCAGCCATCGCTTCATCCTTGTTGCATCACCTCCGGCAACCTCCACTCGTGTTTGCCTGACCCGGCCAACAATCGCGACCGTCGTCTGTTTACAACCACGCATCAGCGACCGACCCCGATAACGACGCACCGCGAATTCTCGCACTGGATGTCGCCACAACGCATCTGACGGCGGCATCCCCCATTGTTTCCCATCAACATGGCTACCTCACTCGCCGTCGATAAACCCCATCTGCCGCCCGCTGATGCGGATGCGAACGACCCCTTCATCTCGCCGCCTGGACCTGCCCATCATCGCTACTCCAGCTTCGACACCCAATCCTTTGCCCTCGGCGCTGGCTCATCACCGGACCAGGCCAAGCGCGCATTGCAGGCGCACATCGCCGACACCGAACGACGCCTTGACGAGGCCGGGAAGCTGGGAACTGCCCTTGTGCAACAGCGCAAGGAACTCGCCGAGCGGCTGAAGGAGGTAGAAGAGCAGGAGGCAGAAGGAGAGCTTGCACCCGAATTGCGCGCCAAACTCGCCGACATCGAAAAAGAGTACCAAGATGTTGCTCGAGAGACTGCGAGGGCATTCTTGCCCAAGCAGAGGGTTCCCAGCAACGAAGCTGCTGGAGGTTCGCCCTATGTGCCTGACGGAAGGATAGGAAGAGTAAGTTTGCGCATTTGCCAGGCGCATTTCACTTCTAACCGGCATGCAGCGCTCCGTCAGTCCCTCCAAGTTCGAGAAGCTCGAGATCCAGGCCACTGGGTCGCCTTCCAAGCTCAATGTCCCGAACCGCAAAGTTAGAAACCAGCCCGCCAATCGCATCCACGACATCGAATTCGCTGCCGAAATCAGCACATCCCTGATCGCCCAGGTCCGCAACCTACAATCGCTTCTGTCCGAGAAGGACGAGGAGCTGCGCGACATCAAGGTCGACAAGTCCAGGCTGGAGATCGAAAACGAGAGCTTTCAGCAACGTGTCAAGACTCTGGACGAGAGTGAGAACAGATACAAGGACGAGAACTGGAATCTAGAGACCCAGGTCCATGACCTGATTTCGGCGCAAAAGGATGCTGCAGACAGAGAAAAGAAGCTGTCGCAGAGCTTGAACGTCCTGCAAGCGGAGAAGAACTCGGTGCAGAAGGAGCTCGATGAAGCCAAGGTCTCGCTTGCCAAGCTCGCCGAGGAGCACGAACGTGCGGTGAAGCATCTTGACCTGGATTTGACCACTGCCAAGCGAAATGCCGCCTCGGCCGAAACCGAGAGGAATGCCTTGCGACGCAAGGTTGACGACCTCATGAGCCAGAACACGGAGCTTGCCAAGGCCGTTTCGGTACAGCGTGGCCGTATGTCTGATCGCGACTTTGTCCGCGGCGTCAGTGACGAGGACTTGGAGGCTGCGACGGATGGTTTCACTCCCGAGCACTCGCCCCCACCGTCACCTATCAAGGGCACTCCTCGCCATGCCATGTTGGAGTCTGAGACGCTCAAGAGCTCTCTCTTGCATGCCCAACGAACGATCCAGAGCCAGAAGACTGTTATCCACCGTGAGAAGACCGAGAAGCTCGAGCTTAAGCGACTGCTCCAGGACACGCGCGATGAACTGGAGAAGCTGCGTACCGACGCTGCACCTGTTCCCGCTCGTCGCAACCGCAAGGTTGAGTCAAAGGAGTTCAAGAAGCCTTCCCGCGGCTTGCTTGGCGGTCACCGAAGCAGCAGAAACGAGGTTTACCAGGACGACCCAGACTGGGAAGAGGCGACGGAAATCGGTAGCCCCAGAACTTCGCCAACCGGCCGCTCGAACTCCGCCATTCGGAGACCGAACAGCAGACCTGGCAGCAGCTACAGACCTCAGTTTACGGATGTCAGTGACCAGTTTGAGACGGCGAACGAGACCAGCGACGCTGCCTTTGAGACTGCCAATGAGCGTGGAACGGAGACGGAGGACTTCCAGACTGGTGTCGAGGACTTCTCCGGTGACGACGACACCGAGACTGAAACCGAAAGCCCGTCTAAGGGCCGTGAGCTGCGGTCTCAGGCTCTGGCCATGGCCGGCGGTCGAAACTCATACGACAGTACCGCGTCTACCTCGGCCGACGAGGATGAAGAATACATCGAGTACAGGACGCCGACGTCGCAACACTCACACCAACGCATGCGCGTCAAGCTTAGCCGAGGTATCATAAACCGCCGATCGAGGCAGTTGAGCGAGGAGCCCAGCTTCCAGAGTAGCCCGGCCAGTGCTGCCACCGGTAGCGCTGCGGGAACACCTCAGGCCGGCGGCCAGAGCTTGTTCGCAGAGCTGGCCGACCTCGAGAACAGCGACGCTGAGTCTATCGAGGAGACACCCAACCGCGCAAGATCCGCCACTGGCGACTCTACGCAGATGGCTGCAACCTCCACGCCGCCTGTTCCTACCCTGTCCCATGACATGGTTGACAGCAGCCATATGACTGACCCTGTTAAGAAGGCTGCGGCTTCCAGGCCCATGATGGTCGATAGTGGTATGATGACAGAGCCCATGACTGAGTCGACTCCGCCCTCACCAGTCAGTGTGGTCCATGAAGATAGGAGTCTCCCAGTGGGATCCATGCTGGCCGCCCAGCAGACATCACGCCAGTTGTCAGCTGACGATGCCGATGGAATCCGTTCCCGCCCGCTGTCGACACTCTCCTACAGCGATGCAGGTGCCCAGTATGATGTGGACATGGATGCAAAGCTGGCACAGTTCCCGATGCCGCCGTCCAGTCCCAACAACTACATTCTGCCGCCAACGCCTGAGCTCAGCCTCTCTTCGATCGACATTCAAGATATTGAGCCCGTCTTCGAGCCCGAGACGCCGCCTCCTCCACCGCCTGAGCTCACCATGACGTCTCTGGTTTCTGAAGCTGTTGAGCCCAAGGCAGAGCCCGAGATTGTGCCGCCAGCACCCGTCTTGGCTTTCACGCCTCTTGTCTCGGAGGATGTTGAGCCAAAGGCTGAGCCCGAAGTGCCGCCCCCGACGTTGAGCATCTCAACCTACTTGTCCGAGGCGGTCGAGCCTGTTGCTGAGCCAGAGTTGCCGCCTCCCGTCCTCAGCCTGTCGGCCCTTCAAGCCCACAACCTTGAGCCTGTGGCCGAGCCTGAGACGCCGCCTCCGACTTTCACTCTTTCGGCGCTGCATGCCCACAACTTGGAGCCGGTTGCTGAGCCAGAGGTGCCTCCTCCGGCTCTCAGTCTCTCCGCTCTGCACTCGCACAACCTTGAGCCGGTTGCCGAGCCCGAGGTCGTGCTTCCTGTGCCCGATCTCACCTTGTCAGGTTTGGTGTCCGAAAACATCGAGCCCAAGGAAGACCCCGAGGAGTCTCGGGCTTTGGCATTTGTCCCTGCTCCTATCCCGGTGCCAGGACCGGTATCAGTGCCGACCCTTACACTGTCTTCGATCGCGTCCGAGAACGTGGAGCCGAGAGAAGAGCCCGAGGTCCCGGTTGTTGTACCTACCCTCAGCCTCTCAGCGATCGCCACGGAGCACGTTGAGCCCAAGGCCGAGCCCGAGGTTGTTCCTCCGGCGCCTGTCCTCAGTCTCTCGGCCCTTTACTCTCACAACCTCGAGCCAAGGGCAGAGCCCGAGGTCCTGCCTCCCTCACTTAGCCTGTCGTCCATCGTGGCAGAGGGTGTTGAGCCCAAAGAGGAGCCCGAGACCATTCCCGAGGTCCCGACTCTTTCGTTTTCGTTGATTGCGGCCGAGAACATTGAGCCGACTGCGGAACCCGAGGTGGTCGTCCCCGTACCTGTCCTCAGCCTTACACCAATCTCCTCTGAGAACGTTGAACCTAAGGCCGAGCCGGCGCCAACGCTCGCCTTGTCTTCGATCTCTTTCGCGGACATTGAGCCTCTCGCGGAGCCGGAGGTGCTGCCGCCGGCGCCGCCCGCTCTCACCCTGTCCTCCATCTCGTCTGAGGACATTGAGCCCAAGGCGGAGCCCGAGACACCCGCACCTATTCCCACTATTCTTGTGTACTCCGACATTCACTCTGAGCACGTTGAGCCTCTTGCCGCCCCTCTCCCTGCGCTGGACTTCTCCTCCGTCCTGTCTCAGCACGTAGAGCCTGTTGTCGCGCCAGAACCTATGGCGGCCAAGCCCAATTTTGCTTTCTCTACTATCGAATCGATTGAGACGCAACCCATTTCGCCTAGAACCCCGAAGCGGGACGCCTTTATTCTCCCTCGCGACATGGATTCTCCATTCGATGAGAAGGACGCACCCAGGACGCCTCCCAAGAATGCTCTGATGAGCTCCGTCTTTGGTCGGGGCAAGAACAAGACCGACGACAGCCCCATCATCGCCGAGGACGAGACTAGGCAGTCGCCTAGCGAGACCCGGCTGTCCGAGACTCCCGAGTCTCAGCGGCCGTTCAAGGAGATTTCAACCAACGCCAACAACCGACCTGCGCGCAAGCCAGCGGTTCCCATGTCCGACTCTGGCGCCCAGACTTCTTTGACTGCCGAGGCGATCGACGAGATGCTCCTCACAAAGACCAAGGCCACTTCCGACAAGTCGCTCTCCAGCTTCGGAACCCCGAGCACCCCCGGCACCGTTCGCATCCGCCGTCCGTCTCACGACAGTCTTAGCAGCTTCTCCACCGAGAACAAGATGGATACGGCATTCAAGAGACCAGGAAGTGCCAACAGCAACATGGCGCCTGCCCAGCCACTGCCTCCTCTCCCCCCCAATCACAAGGAGGCCATCGAAGCTGCGAGAACTGGGTCTTCGCATGGAAGTGTGGTCATGGGCCCTCCTTTGTGGCCTGCTTCTGCGATGAGAAACCAGCGGCCGCAGACTCCCAACGGCGCAAGGCCGCAGTCGCCGTTGTCAATCACTACATCCACAAAGGCTGTTCCCGCTGTTCGTGTTGCGCGGGCTGGTGCACCCGCCGAGGTCCACTCTCCGACCAAGCTGTCGACTATGAGCAGACGCTCTTCGGTGTCCTCCTTCGTCTCTGAGATTGACCACCGATTCAACCCTCAGGCTGAGCTGGCCGCCGCGACTGGCTTTGGCCCCAACACCGATCCTCGCATGATCCAGGCCATCACGCAGACCATGATTGGTGAATACCTGTGGAAGTACACCCGCAAGGCCGGCCGTGGAGAAATCTCCGACTACAGACACAGACGTTACTTCTGGGTCCACCCGTACACCCGGACTTTGTACTGGAGCGACCGTGACCCGGCCACTGCTGGCCGGACCGAGCTGCGCGGAAAGAGTGTGCCCATCGAGGCCGTCCGCGTGGTGACCGACGACAACCCTATGCCGCCTGGCCTCCACCGCAAGAGCTTGATCGTCATCTCCCCTGGCAGAACCATCAAGTTCACCTGTACAACCGGCCAGCGCCACGAGACGTGGTTCAACGCCTTGTCGTACCTGCTGCTTCGCACGACCGACGAGGGACAATCCGACGTCGAGGAGATGGCCGGCCACATCACACAGGCCGATGTGGATGAGTTCAACCCTCAATTTGGTCGCACCAACTCAACGGCCCGACCGAGGCCTCCGCCGTCTCTGTCATCGTACAACTCGCGGACTACCCGCAATCAGTCTCCGGCGGTCGACATGTCGATGAATGTGCCCACGCTGACCCCGAACAAGCACAACGCCCAGGCCCAGAGACCTACCATGGGACCGCTGGGTAGGATTAGTGGCTACTTCGGCACCTTCTCGAGTCTGAGAAGCCGTTCAGCGGCTACCGCAAGCCCTGACATCTACGAGGCTAGCGAGGTACACGACAGCGCCGAAGACCTCCGGGAGATTATCGAAAGACAAGACCGGGAAGCCGACCGACTCGAGAACGTGCGCGCCTGCTGCGATGGTAAGTTTGATTTCAACACTGCCCTGCTAGAGGATATACTAATGATGACCCAGGCAAGCACGACGTTGGTACACTTCATCACCATTCTAAGCGAGGTCGGCCCTCTGGCGCTCATTCTCACTCGCACTCCAACTCTCACTCTGGACCTTCTGCGTCTACGCCGTTGAGCACCTTGAAGTCGCGAGCATAAGCTGGCGCTTGATGGACCCGCCAACGTCTCCACGCGGCTGTTGAGCAGCCTCTAGTTAATATAAACCAATGAAGCACTCTTGCAACCCACCCGCTACGCCGAATTTGGCCTCGTGGGAAACCTTCCCCACCCATGATCAATTCGCTCTCTCGCAACGGATCACGACGTCTATGACAACCATCTCCTTGTCGTCTTTGCCTAGGATGCCCTGCGTCCCGCAAGAGCCCAGGCCCCTTCTCCTTCCGTTTTGGACCTAATCTCACTTACGACTGCATCCAGGACCCTGCGTCCTCACGACCACACGTTTCTTTAACCGTCTTGCCTGTCTCGATTACAACCACTACGCACCGACCAACTACTGTCAGCTTACAGAATCTGTACGATTGCCAAGCATGCTTTTTGCGCCGCGTTTTTCTGCTGCCTGGAGTAGCCTGTCATCATTCGCATGGGGGTTATTGATTAGCAAAACCATTGATTCCCAGCTTTGCAGCATGGCCACGGCGAAAATTATGGGGAACAGAGAAAGGGGGCCTGGGGAAGAAAACATGGCGATGTACTACCAGATGCAATTGGAGTCAAGCTCGTCTTTCGTTTCGGCTCTCTTGCCCTGCTCTACGGAAGGGGCAAAGCACAGCCCACAACAAAAACAACCACAACCGCTTTTTTTTTATGTACTCTCTCTCTTACTTTTACTACTTTTTTCTATGTTCGTACTATCAGGGCATACGGCCCTCGACTCTTCTCCTCTCTCCTATGGACATTAGGGGCTGAATCTGGAAGGTTTATGGGATTACCTTGGGAGTTGGGACTCTTGTAGACGTAATGCATAGTTGCTTCTGCCCTGAACTTTTTTTGCGTGTCCCGTCGTGTGTGACTTGTGGCTAATGTGAGCACTCTCCTGCCATCATTGCCTATACCGAGCTTCCAAAGGGGAAGGGAAAAAAGGTGCCGCCTCCCCCCCCCCCCCCCCCCGTTTTTTTTTTGGTTTGTTCCCTCGTTCTGCAAGTCAACAACGTACCCATCCTCGGAGGCTGGGGTTCTGCTTGTTCCTCTCGCTGCCGGCGAAGTAGCCCCGGCGAGCGCGGGGCCGGGATCATCCCTCTCGACATACCCAAGGCGTCACGGATGTTCCCTCCGCCGCCCCCCCTTGCCTGGAGATTCGGTTGCGTGTGTCCGCCCCGAGACCGAGCGAGCGAGCCGGCGGTATCGGGGACGGTACGTGTCGGTCCCGTTTGACGTTTCCCCGACGGCGGCCGGCGGGCGCCGCGAAATAGACCGGTGCTGAGATGCCGACGGCTGCGTGGCCAACGGCCTGGACCTGGGCCGAGAGCGCCGAGGACACGGTCAAAGACGCTGGACAGGAGAGAAGAACTTTGAGGGTGGTTGGTATATGTATATATATATATATATATATGTAGTATCAATTGGTGTGACTGTGTATTGGTATCCTAAATGTTGAACTCCAAACCCCCGGCCTAACCCGTCCCGTCCCAAGTCTTACCCTATCCGTTCCCGACTCCAATTGATGAAACGCGACAAAAAGTAGCATTACTTGACCTCGACGCTTCCCCTGCCGCCCCCGACCAAGTCGTCCTGGGCGTCGTCGATCCACGCAGAGTAATCCTCGTCGTCGTCCGCCACGCTCGCAGGGACGGCCTCGATGGGCTGTTCTTCCTCCTCGAGCCTGCCGCGGCGTTGCGGGAGAGGCGGGGGCGTCCTGCTCTCCTCCTTCTCCTCGCGGCTGTTGTCCTCTCCGTGTCTGTAGGTTCGTGCCTGCGACGCGCCCGCGACCTCCTCGTCTTCGGACCCGTCCTCGGCCCACGGCTGGACGTACGCGGGCGGGGGCATGTTCTCGTCCATCGGGGTCGAGGGCTCCGAGTCGAGCGGCGCCTCGACGACTAACAAGCTCTCTCCGCCGCCTTCGTCCGTGTTCTTGTGCGTGTCAATGTGACGCCGCGACGGTAAGGGTGGGGGCGGCACGGGCCTGCGCTCGGGTTTGCTCTCCGACGACACGTTTGACTGCGGGCGCTCGGGGAGGTTCGGCGGGGGGATGGGTTTCCGCTTCGGCACGGGGATCGTCGTGACCTTGGAGCCCCGCTCGGGAGGCGGGAGTGGTGTACCCGGGGGCGGCAAGGGTCGGCCTCTTCCCATGGGTTGGTTCAGGTCCAGCGGAGGGGGGGTCTGTTCCGTGCCATTGCCGTTCTTGGCGTCCTTGTGTTTCTGGATCGCGTTCCAGCCCCATTGCCTGGCAGTGACCGCGGCATTCGCAACGGCTGAGAGAGTGGTGCGTTTCGTCTCGCCGTTTGCCGAGTTGGTCGAGTTCGTGCTCCCCGTGTTCTCCCGTCGGAAAAGACCCTTTGAGACGGAGCCCGTAGCACTCTTGACAGAGGCCCTTGAAGACGAGGTTGGCGAGCTCGGGTCAGTAGACTCGTTGATGCGCATCGACTCGGCCGAGGAGGCCGTGCTTCGTCGCTCCTTGGCTACTGGCGTGCGATCCGTCTCGTTCTCGTTGTCCGTGGCCTCGCGGGAAGACGTGGAAGATTGGCTCGAGGCCTTGCCGACGGGTGCGGGCCTGGATGGTGCCTCGGAGGGAGTCGTCGCCGGTGTCGACCTCGCTGAAAGTGCCGCCATCATGCTCGAAGCATGGTCAGGCGGTGACGACGAGGGTTTGAACACATCCGCGTGGGCCACATCGGTGCCGACCACGGGGTTCGCAGGACTCGAGAGTGACGGCGACCTGAACGGCTTAGGGATAAATGTCGCTGACGTCGCTGACGTAGGAGAGCCCATAGCGTCGACGCTCGTAGAAGAGCCGTTCAGGTTACTGCTGGGCCCCTTGCCCTGGATCTTCCTGCCGAACAAGCCGGTGGGTGACGAATTCTCGACGATGGGCATGCTGTGGCTCTTCTCGAACGGTCTCATGTCACTTGGCAGGTCTCCCGTCACATCTAAACGGTCGACACCTTCCACATCGCCATCACCTGCAACATTGGTCTCCACACTCGGCGAGCCAACAACCGCATCGTCGTCCTCCCAAATGCCGCCCCGCCACTTCTTGTGCTCCGTGTTGAAGAACGGCATGTCGTCCCAGAACGGCTGGACCAGTGTCTCGGCAATGACCTCCTTGATTCTGTTTTCAATCTGTCGCAGAATAATGGTGTATGTGATCTGTCGAGCGCTGACAATCGGTTCGATCGTCATCTCCATCTTTGGCATGCTCTGGAAAGAGAGCCATACTCTGTTGCTCGGCGGGGGTTTGATCTTGAACAGCATGTGCCCCTCGAGCTTCTTAATGACAACTGCAAGCACGAGATCGACTTCGCGAACCTTGAAGCGCGCTCCAAGGTCGATACGAGCTGTAGCAGCAACTTCGATGCGAAAGTTGCCCGTGTATCGAATATCGGCCTCCATCACGCACTCTCCTTCCACGTTCAGGTCCCTATGACGTGGGTTCGTAATGATAGGTGCAGACTCGCCGGTGTCGATCCCGCGAATAGCAATGTTGGTAAGAAATGACGGCCGCTTGACACGGGCAATCTTCTTGGTGAGCTTCTCGCGAATAAAGTGCTCCAGGTCCGTCGTCTTGTAGATCCCCAGGAATACTCGGCCGACCATGGCATTCAACCACCTGGTGGACAGATGCTCCTCTGACGAGTGCAGCTTCTGGACGAGCGAAATGATGTTCTTAACCTCGAACTGCTTCGGCTTCGGAGCTTTTCTCTCGGCGCCGAACGTTTGCTCCTGGTTACGGAGCATGGCAAAGTAAAAGTCCTCCTTGGCCGAGCAGTTCTCCGAGAAGAGGTAAAACGGCTTGGAGAGCTGGCTGTCAGGGCCGACCTCGGGACCGTCAGCCCTCCGTGACAGACATAGCGCATTCCTCTTGATGTACAACTCGCCTTCGGGCGTGACGTCGCCGCCAGAGTATATGCTGATGTCGTGGTGCAGCAGCGAGACTACGTGCCGGACCTCGAGTTGTTCGTCGTCGTCAAAGAGCATCAAGTGGCCGTGCCTGTAGGCGTATCAGTCAGTATAACGGGAATATTCAAAGCAAGCAGAGCGCACATACCTCAGCACGACGTAGAATACGTTGCCGGCGTTCTTGGGACGCTGGCTCAGCCCGTTCCTGTTGTCCAGGGGCCCTGGAACTGGCTTGCGCTCAAAGATACTCCTGTACATGGTCTGATAGACGCTCTGGCTCGGCGCGGCGACGGTAGTGGACCCGGTCGGGGTGGTCCGCTCGATAGGCTTCGCGTTGATCCCCATGGGCGTGTACTCTCTGCAGACGGCAAAGTACCCCGCCGCGACATCGTTCTCCTGGGCGGAGCGCTTCGCCGTCGTATTGGTCGTCGCTTCATCCTTGGCCACAGCTTTCACCGTCTCGAAGGCCGTGAGGTCGTCGCCGGGCTGGACGATGGAGTTCGAGCCGTCGTCGGCGACAACATTGCGGGTCGTGTCGGCATCCTGTCGGTAGGGGAGGGTCAGGTAGGCGTGGGCGAGGACGACGAAGACGACCAAGGGTAGGAAGGTCAAGCCTCCTAGGAGGTAGGTGAAGAGGAAACCCGTCCAGCCCCCCATGGCGCTTTACCAGGGCTCGTTCGTTCTCCTTTCCTCACTATCTCAGTCTCGCACGGCACTGGTGCAGTGCTGCTAGCGAATGGGTAGCAGGAAGACGAAGGGATTGGGCGGGATCATCGGCGCTTAGTCGTTGCTGGGTGGGAAAGATGGGAGGGGGCGAGGGTCGTATTGTTCGGGTTGCGTTGCGGTGGGGAGCGGGCAAGAGACAGAGAGAGAAGCTCTTGTTTCAAGATCAGAAAGAAGACAACGGTGCCTTAGCTACCTTTGTTACACTTTCGCGAGGCGGATAGGAAATGTGCGGGACGGAATCTTGGCCCGAATCTGGATCGAGAATGGGTGAAATGAGAATGGATCAGCCAAGGGAACCCAAAAAGTCACTTTGCAAGTCTGCGGCGTCCAATGGGTCGCTCGCACCCCGTCATGTGCGGGCGGTTGAGCCTTATGACAGCTGTCCGCAACAGGCGAGACCAAAGAGGCGAGAGAGACTTGGAGCAACCGGCAGCCCCACGAGGAACTAGTCCAGGGCGAGCAGCTGCGGTACAGAGGTACCAGCTGAGCAAAGAGGTAAGCTTTTTGGAACACTGTAAAGCTGAACTATGGAGTGGCGTTAGGGGGGGGGCGTTCTCAGGTCTGACGGTGTATTTATGATGTACAGAGAGGTATGTTTGTGTCTGTTGCTCGTGTGGGGGGATGAGCACTCCAAAGTCTCCAAAAGGTGCCGAGTGACCCGCAGACCGCTGTTCCCTCGCACTCAGTCTGGCACTGAACCGGCCGCCGCCCTTGGCGCAACATCCGGTCGAGTCGGTAATGAACATCCCTGTATTTGCCTTTCTACCCCGCAAGCACCAAATGAGACGGGGACCCCTGGCCACAGGTGTGTGAGGTCACTGAGAGCTTGGATCGCATCTCCTTACGCATGTCTGCCAGTATCTACTATGTATTTTCCCCAATCTCCTCACGATGTCATCGAGTTGGCAGTAAAACTTAACGCAAGTCTCTAGTGCATCTGATAGCGCTCACAACTAAAATCGGACGGAGATGCGCTCATCCAATCCCCATTTATGTATTCTTTTCTGCTGTCCCCGAAGCCCAAGAGCCAATCCCATCTACTCAAAAGATTGGCCCACTGAGGTCGTGACATCATAATCTTCTTACACTGATTGCAATCGATAACAACGAGAGGCCGTAGCGCTCTATCCACCAACCCCGTGACGATCGTTTCCTGAGTTGTCCGGTATACCGCCAATACGCCGTATGTAGTATACACAAACTCAATGCTAACAACCACATGTAAAAACAACTTTAAAAAAAACATAATAACGAAGGAACACGGCACTTCACCACTCCAATGCGGCTCTTCCCGCCTTTGCAACCAACTCTTTAATGACAGGCTCCAAGGCGCTCTTCTCCATCTTGAGTCGCGCGCTCTGCTTGACCCGCGAGTAAAACACCGGACAGTCTTTGCTATCGCAGGGCACTTCGTCCGCCGCAGGCATCGCCGAACAGCTCCGGCAGATCTTAAGCACGTCCATGTACTTCCTCTCCTCTTGGTTCAACCGCACCTGGAGGTGGTACAGCGACGACGGCGCATCCTGCTGGCACTTGGAGCACATTACGCCTTCGACCTGCATCTTGACGTTGCAAGAGATGCATGAGGCCGACTTCAGGTATGACTCTAGTGTCTTCTTGTTGAGCCCGGGACCGAGCGTCTGGTCGACCCGGCGGATGCGCTGGACCTTGGGCATCTCGTCGTACCATTGCCGCACGTTGGCGCCCACAAGGTTGAAAATTCTCTCCAGCGGCGGGATCAGGTTCTTGGAGATATAGTACTCGGCGTCCAGCTGGGAGTGCGAATCGTTGAGGAGATCTTCCGGTGCCACGCAGCGATCTATCAGTCGCGCCCCGGGGGCTCCCGTAATCACAACGTAGGGCACCCGTTCTCCATACTGCGGCTCTGCCCGCGCATCCTCGAGCATCTTTTTCGTGCTGATAAGCGCTCCCGGCGGCGGCGGCCCCTTGTCGCTGTACGTACCAAGCTTGACCTCCCTCGCATAGCAAAAGTCCTGCACTGAAACGGACCCTCGCATGATCTTCTCGCACTGCCTCTGAAAATATGACTTGACTTCGCTGAGGTTCGCCGTTTCGAAGAGGATCTTGAGGGCCTTCTCTTCGATCTTCTGCTCGGCTGGAGTCCCATCCCGTCTGACAGTCTCAATGCCTTTGGCATCGAAGTCAGGCTTGACCTGATCTCTGCTCTCGTATTTGTAGCCAACATACCGCTTCTTAGCCAGAAGGACGCAAGGATGGTATACCTTTTCAAACTTCAGTTTGATCGGCCTTGGGTTCATGTCCGTGATGGCCTTCGCGATTTCATTGCCAATGTCAAAGGCTTGGTCCTTGGTGCGGCCCTTGAGATAGACAAACAGACTGTCTGTGTCACCATAAACCACCTCGGCGCCCCACCGCTCCTGCGAATGGATGTATGCAATGGCTCGTTCCAATGTCTCTCGGCCCGTTTGAACGATGCTGTCTGCGATCTCTGAGCATGGCATGCGACCAGAGAAAGACGCCGAAGTGTAACCATAGGTAACATTCGCAAGAAGCTTCAACGCCAGCTGTCTGTTATTGAGTAGCTGTTGGAGCGTCTTGTCGTCCTTGTCTTGCTTCATCCCGCTCTTGACCATCACTCGGGTCTCCAGGATCTCGCCGAGCATCTTGGCAAGGAGGGACTTGCGAATCTCGGGCCTCACGTACATCATTCCGTTGGGTGTGATGTTAATGTGGTCCTTCAGAAGCTCAAGAAGACGTTTATGCCTCTGGTACTCGGTAAAACCCATCTTGTTCATCCCCCGCCAGTTGACAATCCTGCCAAGAAATGTCGAGTAGCAAAGGTTGTAAGCGATCATAACGCTGGGGTATAAACTCTGAAAGTCGAGCACTAACAGTGGGCTGTTGTAAAAGTCGCTTTGAGGCTCCATGACAAGCGGAAGACACTCGAGTGCATTCTGGCCTCCAACCTGCTTCCTGCTGGGAGAGACAAGCATGAAGTTTTCGGGTTTGGCAATCCTGAACATGATGGATTCAACCTTGAACTGAGAGCCACGCGAGAAGACGGAAAAGAAGTCTACGCCCAATAGTCTTGCCTGCTCACTGGTTCTGGGAATGAGCTCATTTGACTCAAGTATCTGAATATCGGTCTTTGTTCGGGTAAGGTAGTAGCGTAACAGCTTATCAAGATCTCGTTGCCTGTTGCTGTTGTACCACTCCGTCAAGGTCTTCCAGGAGTAGTGTGGTATGCGACGGTGGAGAACATGCCATACGACGTTCTCCATGGTATACTGGAGCAGATTCAGCTCTCCTCGCATGGACCGCCAGATATTGATCATGTGTCTGCCGGTTACACGAATGGTCGAGGTCGTGTTGAAGCCCCATCGGTCGTTTTCCTTGCCGATTCGCCCGTGAGAATTGCTTTTCATGCGCGAGAACTCATCGCAGAGATCGTAATCGTACTTCACGCGGGCTCTTTCAATGAGATAGCCCCATGAGCTGCCATGGACCTCATATCCTGTTAGGATGTCTGGGTCATGTGCCCTAACGATCTCCACCATTCGGACCATGAGGTCAAGCTCGGAAGACTCTTCAATGACCTCTGCGGGTACGTATCGGCGCATCCTCGCAGCAAGAGTCCCATCTGGCGACAAGACAACAACCCCAGCAAGGATTCCTCCCGCTGCTTCCTGACTGTTGCTGACAGTGCCATCTGCTTTGATGGACCAGAATATACACTGAACTTCATCCTCGTCAGGGTTGGGCACAAACTTGCCTCGCGCGTTAACATGAACCTCTAGGGCCATGGTGCTCATGTACTGTGCCTCGTGCTTGACACCGGTCGACTTCTTCTTCGGCGAGTATTTGAAGCCATGCTTATTCTTTGGAGTTGGCCCATCAATCTGGGAAAGGTAACGTCTTGTTGCTCGAGGAGTGCCCATGACCTTGGCAGTAGCATTATTGCGTTTTCGCTGCACGGGATGCTTCTCGTTCCACCAATTCTGAACCTCTTTGAAGGTTGGCGGTGGCTTTGCTATTTCCCAGCTCCGGTATGAGCATGCTTTTCCCTGATTATCATACAGCAAATCTGTTTTAGCCTTGTCGATTGGCGCATCTTGCTTAATGCCCATGCTTGCTGCGGATGTGCCAGTTGGGTCAAAGTCAGCCAGAAATGGCAAGGTGTTGCTCTCGAGGCGAAACTCTCGCCCAGCATACTCTCGGGTTCGAGCAGGGACATCCTTCTCTTCGCTATAATAGGCGTCTTGGTAAACTACATCCGGAATTTGAAGGTCTTTCATTGTGGATATAAGTTCTTTCGGAGCAGGAGGTAGTGATCCAACCACAAACTGGCGTTTGGATGAAAACTCTCCAATAGCTGTCTGGATGCGCTTCACCATCGTCTCCGTTCCAATCGATTCTGTCGACGGTGTTGCTATTTGGACTTTCTTGGTCGAAACTGGTGTCTTGGGGTTGTTGCTTGTGTCTTTGGGAGCTAAGTCGAAGGAAACTTGCTTTTGTGAATCTTTGTCGGCTTGTTGCGAGGCTCGAGGCTGACTCATTTGGCTTAGTCGAAGCTTGGTACTTGGATCTTCCTGGCTTTTGACCACTGGAAAAGCCAGCTTCTGATTTGTTATGGGCTTTGATCCCGCATTCTGTGAAAGCCATGGGGGTTCCTGGGAATTGGGCGGCAACATTGTGACTTGGTGCTTCTTGGAAACGGGCCCAGTATTCAAGATACTTTTGATCGGGACTTGGGGCACAGGTGGCTTTGAAGTCTCGCTCCTGATGCGTTTCGCTGAAGGCACCGTTGCGTCTGGTGATGGGCTTCGTTTCGCTGATGCCGTTCGTGGGCGACTTGAGCTCGTGTCTCCTTTTGATTTGGACACGAGCCCTTCCTCTTCGGCTGTATTAAGAAGATCATCCCAGACTGGCATCAGTGGTGGCCGGTTGGTTTTCAGCCTGCTGGCACAAACACCCTCGTATTGAGGGATCGGGAAGTCGACTTCTAGCCTGTTGACGGTATTCTCGACTAGTAAACGTTTCTCTTCGGTAAGTTTCGTGGGCTCCCCATTTGCGGGTAGATCTCCTCGTTTGTCAACCCGCCGCTTCGTAGGATCGGCAGCATCCCTTTTTTGGCCATCCTTTTTCGACTTCGATTCTTCCCTTTGAATAAGGGCCTCTTCATCAGAATCGGCAGGATATGGATCAAAGTCGTCGGCGCCTAGATCGAGAACACCCTGCTCGTCAACCTCTATGCTGCTCGCCGGATTGTTGGTCTTTTGTTCATGGTTAGAGGGCAACCCAAGGGCTGGCAGAAGGTTTGCGGGGTACAAGTCCTCGACAGATTGAAGTGCTGTCTTGACTGTGGACTCCAGTGGCGCTTGCTTGACGAATGTCTCAAACTTTGGCTCTGATTGATCTTTAGGGTCTTTTTCCGAATCGATGAGCTTGGCGACTTCCTCTTTGTACTCTTCTTCGTGAATCCACCCTTGCGGTTGCGAGTCACGCGCATTCGCAGACATGGAAACCAAGACTTCCGCTGGAAATGGGCTACTGCCGGGATCGGCGTTGGGCATTTTCAGTTTCCGACGGCGAGTCTCGTCCTTCCAAAGTCCCGCCATGCTGTAGACCAGCTTCACATCTGCTGGAAGCGGCTTGACACGCTCAACAAAATCATGATGAAGCCGACGCTCTTTGACCAAGTGTCGATTTTTGATGTTCTGGACGCATATGTCAACTTCAACAGAGCAATGACTGACCCTAGGCAGACTCAGATCATCGAGAACCCGGCCTCGGGGAATTGTTCGGTCATGCCACATATGTTGGGAGTTGCCAACTTCTTCGAAAGACGGAATGGGGCCTCGAAAATAAACATCAGACGCATCCAGGTAACCACAACCGTACAAATTGTAGTCAGTCATGAACTGCAACAGGTACTGAAGATGGGCTTCATAAGGCTGAAATTTCTTCTTCAAGATAACTCCCTGTTGTAGAAGGTCGGCTAGCCTTGTCATGACAATAGGGTTGAACATGTAAATCTTGAGGAAGAATCGGTATCCCACGTGAAAGCCATAGAATGGGATTCCCTTGACGAGGGTTATGCGAGCGACAAACTTGGCGTTTTCTCCATACTGATCACGCCTGTAGCTAACAGCCAGGGCGTGGTCAATAGACAAATGAAGCCGATAGATGTATGCTCCGACTTGCTTTGGTCAGTAAAGCTTGGCTGTTAACGAGATGTCCGTGCTTACCCTCTTCAGGCTCCAAGCTGCCATGGTACTCAACATAGAGATAAGGGAAAGCGCCGTGAATGTGAGCGCAGACTTTTTGACCAGTCTCTGTCGAACCAAACACTCTCACAACCGGGACTTTCGGGCCTTTCTTCGCTTGTGCAGGGCCGACATCCTTTCTCAGCTGTGGATCATAATGCGTTGGAGTCGCTTGGTAATGATCGATGCAGTTCAGTCTCACCCGGAATAGGTTCATGATGAAGCCCAGGGAGTCTAATGGAGGACAACGTGGTGGTATTTGAGGACAGCGTCATGATAAATAAGAATAGGAATCGATTCGGCGCATGTTGAGACCGTTTGTGCCACTTAGAAGCGGGTGCAGCGACGCGACAAGGTCGTGTTGTTACGAGAACCACACGCGTGCAGGCTCCCATGTCAACGCCCAGGATCCGCGCAGTCACGTGGTAAAATTGTGGATTAATAAGATAAGAGGCTTTTGCTTGCGGCTAGTGTGAACGAAGGCTGCAAGGCGCTGACATGTTGGACTTCTTGGCTACCTACACCAAAAGCAAGAGCACAGGCGCCAACTCGAACCAGTTGCCCGATCATTCCACCAAAAGTTTTGAGTGTCTCTTTAAACGCTATAAAACGAGAGAGATAGAGCAGATGATTGATAGATCATGGGTAAAAGATAACAAAGCTTACAAGCATAACCATGGAAACATCCGTGGTTTCATCTGGCTAGGAAGCCTTCGGGTGCTAGAGTGATTACATAATACATGGTTTGCGCTCAGCGCCCCGAGGCCAAAACCACCGAGATGCGCCCACTCGACTTTCACATATCAACAATTCTCAAAGAACGCGAAAGTAACGAATCGTCAAAATGCCACCACCACCACCTCGAAAGCCTGATCCAAAGGCGTCCGCTGCCTCCAAGGAAGAGAACATATACATTCCTTCTTTCATCAGTAAACGTCCTTTCTATGCAGGCGAGGAAGGCGATGATCAAACGGACTACCTCGAACATCAACGTCTGCAGAAGAAGAAGGATGAGCAGTCGCAATGGTACGATCGCGGCAGAAAGTCCGGCCCCGCAGCCACGAAATATCGAAAAGGGGCATGCGAGAATTGCGGCGCCATGACGCACAAGGCCAAGGACTGCCTAAGCCGACCGCGAGCGAAAGGCGCAAAGTGGACTGGCAAGGACATTCAGGCGGATGAGGTCTTACAGGACGTCAAGCTTGGCTGGGATGCCAAGCGGGACCGTTGGAATGGATACGATCCAAAAGAATATCGCAACGTCGTCGAGGAGTTCAATCAGATGGAACAGCTGAGGAAGAAGGCGCTAGCCAAGGACGGAACTGAAGAGGAGCAGGATGATGGAGACAAGTATGCCGAGGAGAACGACATGAGCAAGCATCAAAGTACAGCCACCCGTCAGCTCAGAATACGAGAAGACACCGCCAAGTACCTGGTCAACCTTGACCTCGAATCAGCCAAGTACGATCCGAAGACAAGATCTTTGGTCGACGGTGGTGCAACCGCAGACAAAGCGGCGAACCTTTTCGCGGAAGAGGGCTTCATGCGGGGCTCGGGTGACGCGAGTGAGTTTGAGAAGGCACAACGATACGCCTGGGAAGCCCAGGAGAAGAGTGGCGACACTACAAAGCATTTGCAGGCGAACCCTACAGCGGGAGAATTCTACCGGAAGAAGGAAAAGGAAGAGGCGGAAAAGAAGCGAGCCGAGCGGGAGAAGAAGCTCAAGGAGATGTACGGCGACAACTCGCAGTACACAATGCCCGACGAGATGAAGAACCTCATCACCGAGTCCGAGAAGTACGTCGAGTACGACGAAAGCGGTCTCATCAAGGGCGCGCCTAAGGTTATCGCCAAGTCGAAGTACCCCGAGGATGTGTACATCCATAACCACACGTCCGTCTGGGGCAGTTGGTGGTCCAACTTTCAATGGGGCTACGAGTGCTGTCATTCCGTTGTGAAGAACAGCTACTGCACGGGCGAGGAGGGCAAGCAGGCCTGGGAAGCGTCCGAAAGACAAAGGACTGGTGCCATCTTGGCTCAACAACAGGAGGAAACGCCTGCTGCCACCAAGGACGAGAAGGCGGACGAAGAGCCCCCAGCAAAGAAGCCTGCGAACAAGCGCACGGCGGAAGAGATGATGGGAGGAGTCACCGAGGAAGAGATGGAGGAGTACCGAAGAAAACGCACAGCGGCAGACGATCCAATGGCAAAGTTCCTGGGCAAGGATGAATTGGTTTGAGGTAGACTACTTAGGTTACTTGCATTCGACAAACATGATACCCATTTTCCCTGTCAAGTTCGCGTGCTCGCATGCAAGAATTTCTCTTGGTTTGTGTGCCCTGAACGACAAGCAAAGACTTTTATAACATTCATTCGTGGTATCCGTATTTGATGCAATCATTCCATTTTGCCTCTGGTGAACGCCGTGACTATGAACACCCCGATTCCCGTGGTTGGTTATGAATTCCAGCCACTCTTCCCAGAGTTTTTTGTGTGACCAATTCTTAGCATAAATGGCGATGCATTTACTCCTCATCCTCCTCATCCTCACCACCGTCGGCCTTCTCAGCGGCCTTGGCCTTCTTTCTGCGGACACGGCCGGGGCGGCCACCACCGAAGGGCGAGGTAAGGGCGAAGTCGATGTGCTTCTGGGAGTCGAGACGGACGATGAAAGAAGGAACGTTGACGATCTGCTTGCCGACGCGGATGTGTCTCTGGCGGATGAGGACACGGGCGTGGTGGATAGACTTGGCAAGGCCAAGCTTGTAGACGCAGGTCTGGAGGCGGCGCTCAAGGAAATCCTCGACCTTGAGGGCAAGGACGTAATCGAGCTTCATGCGGGACTCGTCGAGGACACCGACGCGCACGAGACGGCGAATGAGGGCATTGCCCTCGAAGAGACGCTTGGGGTCCTTCTCGTCAAGGGTCAAGAGCTGACTGCGGCGGATGTTAGCAAGACCAATGGCTCACAGGCGGCGCATGCAGGGTTCGACATACCGGGCAGCACGACGGATCTTGGAGAGGGTAAGCTGGACACGCCAGACCTCACGCTTGTTGCGGAGACCGTACTCGCCAACGAGCTTCAACTCGGAGTCCCTATCATCGTATCGAAGTCAGTTGTTGGATTCACGACATAAACAGAGCAAGCTCTAGTTCAGTGGCCGGAGAATACTGACAGACGGGCGGCCTCGAAGGGGCGACGGGGGACCTTGGAGGTCTTGGAGTAGGTGAGACTGTTGCGCCAGCGGTTAGCATTCTGCGATCCAAATGCGATGTGCACATGAGGCTTGCGATCGGTTGTTACTTACGGCGCCATCTTGCCGACTCGTCGATATCCTTCGGGATTTGTTGGTTGACGAAGAGCAAAAAAGAAGATCGAGAGATTCTTTCGAAATTTCCCAAGTTCAAACACAACCACTGTCAAAATTGGCCTGTGGGGAGGGAGCGAGGGCTGGCTAGTGGGTCATTTAGTGGGTACCTTCCCACATTCGCCTACGGTGTCACGTGCAGTGCCCTTTCCCACCGACCAGACGAATGCAAAAAATCGGCATCTGAGTCAGCAAGAAGCACACACTCTCCTGGGCCGGATTTTTCGCCTTTGCTTGCCTGGAACTTCGTGATCTTTTCAAGACCCGACAACACCATCACCAAATTCCGCCCTCCACGACAACCACACCGGCAAAATGGGTCACCCAGCGGGTCTTCGCGCGGGAACGCGCGTACGTATTGCCCTGTCTCGAGATGTTGCATTGCGGCCGGATTGCTGACGGTTTTGGCGTTGCAGTATGCGTTCAGCAGAAACTTCCGTGAGAAGGGTATGATCAAGCTCTCCACGTACCTCCGCGAGTACCGGGTTGGCGACATTGTCGACATCAAGGCCAACGGTGCCGTCCAGAAGGGGTAAGCGAAATCCCGACCCTTGAAACAATCGACATGCGACATGGAAATCGTGGAAGGAATTTTTCTTGGTCTTCGGCGTGCGCGCACACAGATGGCTGACATGTCGCAATTACAGTATGCCTCACAAGGTCTACCACGGCAAGACCGGTGTCATCTACAACGTCACCAAGTCCGCCGTCGGCATCATCATCTACAAGAAGGTGAAGCACCGCTACATCGAGAAGCGTATCAACATCCGCATCGAGCACATCTCGCCTTCCCGTTCGAGAGACGACTTCCTGCGCCGCGTCAAGGAGAACGCTGCCCTGAAGAAGAAGGCCCAGGCCGAGGGCAAGCCCCTCCAGCTTAAGCGTCTCCCCGCCATGCCCCGCGAGGCCCGCACCGTCGACTTCAAGGAGAACAAGCCCGAGACGGTCACCCCTCTCCCTTACGAGACGACGATTTAGAGTGTCTTTTGGGGGGGTTGGCGGTTCTTCTTTTGCATGGGGTGTTTACGTGAGGAACGAAAAGGATTTCTAGCATGGAAAGGCATCACGTTTTCGGCAACGTCCATAGGGAATGGAAACACAAAAAAACCAATGGCACTTCATCGTTCACACCTGTATGAGGGGATGTCACCTGTGTGACTCGTTGGCCGTTACGTGATCACGCCGCGATGCTTCGGGTTTGTCACCCTGAGCCAGTGGCATGGCACGGGTTCCGGTGTCTAGGTGTTGTGTGTTCGTGGGAAACACGGTCATTCCGAGTGCCTACGAAAGGCAGGCGAATAGTTTGCCCGTCGGGCCCTCATGATACCCTCAGTCAAATGAAGAACAAGACCTTGTGAAATGCTTCAGTTGCTTTGCTGGGTGTAACTATCCACTGTATGGCTGATGAACGTAACCTGGCCGAGCAGTGTTCACCTTATATGCTTCGAAAATTGTGCGAGAAGTGGCACTGACTCTCTCTGTTTAGCAGGCGATTGGTAAGGTCATGCAAAAAGCTGTATATCTTTTTGTCAACGACTAAGATAGTATTAATAACTGGTCGGACAACTTAGCCAAATGCTCAACGCCGGCTCCTGCGGTGCAAAGCCATGCGCCCATAAACGGCATTAGCCGTGTTCTCAGGTTGAGTCCTAGCGACTAACACAAGCTTGTTGGTTCAGACCTGACACGTGCAGTTGCGTTTCCACGAGTGCGTTCCAGAAGCACACCCCTCCGTTTTGCTTTGACTTGCGAACTGATACTTGCCAATCGATTGCACTTGTCATTGGTGCACTCCGTCAACTCTTCTGTCACCGTCTCGCAAGCGTGGGGATCTCATACATAGTAGATCGAGCGCAGCAAACGAGTATTGAGAACGACGCAGGGGCCTTTTGGGGCTAACCTTGGCGGCTGAACCCCACCATTACCGTCATCAGATCAGGCATCGGCCTGGAGCTTTGGGTGCTTGGTCACCGCTGGGACGCTGCTGGAAGCGACGCTGACACTGGCACCTCCGCCGGATTAGCATTGTTCCATACTCTTCATGCCCAACCCGCCCCAGGCTAAGCCGGATCGCAACGACAACGCCTTGGCGCAATCCCGGAGCTTGCGCAAGTTGCAGAACCCAGCCACACTCGAGCTACTCCAGACATCTGAGGAGCTTGGTCAACGCTGACGACTCTTCCCGCCTCTTCCACTTGGCACGGAAGTCGCTCACGATTTTCTCTTTGCCAAATTCAAAAGTTCGTTCCCTGAAGTATTCTGCTTGCTTCGCAGCGACATTCGGGCAGCGTTGCGTGTACGTGGAGCTCTCTCCTTAAACCGTGGGGAGACGTCATTTCCTCGAACCATCCGAAACCCCCCATATCCGCCATCCACCTCCGACAGCACCCAACGACCCCGCGCATAGAATCTCGTCAAAATGGCCGCCGTGCCGGATACCAGGCACACCAAGTCCGTCTTTCCCTTGTCCATGAGATAATGCCGTCCAATGCTGGCTGTTCACCTGTCTGCGACAGTGCACTGATACTTTTGAAGGACCGATCAGGAGTTGGCGATCAACATCAAGAAGGCAACGAACCCCGACGAGACCGCGCCGAAGCGAAAACATGTCCGTAGTTGTATTGTGTATACCTGGGACCACCGGTCCTCCCAGGCCTTCTGGGCCGGGATGAAGGTGTAAGTGTGCACCGATGTAAGTAGGAAGCTGTCGCTAACGAAGATTTATTGTAGCCAGCCCATTCTCGCCGATGAGGTCCAGACATTCAAGGCCCTGATAACGGTTCATAAAGTCCTCCAGGAAGGACACCCGAATACCTTGCGGGAGGCCATGGCACAGAGGGGCTGGATCGATAGCTTGAACCGCGGCATGGGCGGAGAAGGAGTTCGAGGATACAGCCCCCTGATCCGAGAATACGTCTACTATCTGTTGGCCAAACTCTCCTTCCACCAGCAACATCCCGAGTTCAATGGCACGTTTGAGTACGAGGAGTATCTCAGCTTGAAAGCCATCAACGATCCCAACGAGGGCTACGAGACGATTACCGACCTGATGACGCTACAGGACAAGATTGAGCAGTTTCAGAAGTTGATCTTCTCGCACTTCCGTCACGTAGGCAACAACGAGTGTCGGATTTCCTGTCTAGTGCCCCTCGTGCAGGAGAGCTACGGTATCTACAAGTTCATCACAAGCATGCTGCGCGCCATGCACTCAAGTAGGCAGCCCGCAACCTCTTTAACTAATGACTGAGGCCAATCCTGCTAACTCTAACCCAGCAACTGGTGATGTTGAGGCGTTATCACCTCTGCGCGAGAGATACGACGCACAGCACTACCGCCTCGTCAAGTTCTACTATGAGTGCTCGAACCTGCGTTACTTGACTAGCTTGATCACGATTCCGAAGTTGCCGCAAGATCCACCCAACCTCTTGGCGGAGGACGACGATGCACCCGCACTGCCGGCCCGGCCAAAGCAGGAAATCGAAAGACGCCCTACTCCACCTCCTGAGCCCAAATCCCAAGAGCCCGACGACATTTCTGAGTTCTGGAAGAACGAGCTGGAGCGCCAGAATCGGGAGTATGAGGAGCAACAGAGGGTGCTTGAGGAACAGCAGCGGAACCAGATGATGATGCAGCAGCAGGCGCAAGAGCAGGCTCAAAGGGATTTCGAGGAGCAACAACGGAGACTGGCGGAGCAGCAACGACGTGAGCAGGAGGCTTTGATGCAGCAACAATTGCAATATCAGACTCAGGGCCGACTTGCGGAGCTTGAACAAGAAAACTTCAACGCGAGAGCCCAGTACGAGCGAGATCAGCTCATGCTTCAGCAATACGACCAGAGAGTGAAGGCATTGGAGGGCGAGCTGGCCCAAATCCAGGGACACTTTGGTCAACAAATCACTAGCAAGGACGACCAAATCAGAGCTCTCCAGGAACAGGTCAACACATGGCGCACGAAGTACGAGGCCCTCGCGAAACTTTACTCCCAGCTTCGCCATGAACATTTGGATCTGCTGCAGAAATTCAAGTCTGTACAGCTCAAGGCTGCCTCTGCCCAAGAAGCCATTGAACGCCGGGAGAAGCTGGAACGTGAGATCAAGACGAAAAACCTCGAGCTTGCGGACATGATTAGAGAAAGGGATCGTGCACTTCACGACAAGGATCGTCTGTCAGGGGCGAACAAGGACGAGGTTGAGAAGCTCAAGCGCGAACTGCGCATGGCCTTGGACCGTGCCGACAACATTGAGAGGAGCAAAGGAAATGAGCTTTCAACAATGCTGTCCAAGTACAACCGCGAGATGGCCGACCTCGAGGAGGCTCTGCGGCTCAAGTCCCGAGCTCTGGAGGATGCCCAGTCGAAGCTCAGGGACGGCAGCTCCGATCTGGAGCAGCTTCTCCGCGACAAGGAAGAGGAGTTGGAGGTTTACAAGGCTGGCATGGACCAGACCCTTATTGAGCTCAACGAGCTGAAGCTGAACCAGGGTGATACCGACACCGTCATCGACGGACAGATCGATGCCTTGATCATGGCCAACCTGGACAAGATCAACGACATCATTGACTCAGTACTGCAGTCAGGAGTGCAGAGAGTGGATGATGCGCTCTACGAGCTGGACTCTACTATGCAGGCCGGAAACCAGAACGCCTCGCCATCATATGTCCTGTCTCAAATCGAGAAGGCTTCGTCCAGCGCAATGGAGTTTGCGACCGCCTTCAACAACTTCATCGCTGATGGCCCCAACGCCACACATGCGGAGCTGATCAAGGCCATCAACGTTTTCGCGGGCGCTGTTGCGGATGTCTGCAGCAACGCGAAGGGTATCACCCGCCTGGCGACTGACGAGAAGAAGAGCGACGCTCTGATGAACGGCACCCGGCAGTCCGCTGCTTCCACCGTCAAGTTCTTCCGCGGTCTCCAGAGCTTCCGTCTGGAAGGCATGGACCCCATCCA